AACAAGAGAGAAAAAAAAGTACACTGTTTACAATTTGAATAAATTATACTCTTGATTTTTTTTTCTTTATTCAGTGTTGATGATTTATACATCATTGAAAATTAAATAAACATTTTTACTGAGAACCTTCATTGATTTGACTTGAATAAGTAATGGAATCCGTTTCCTTCTTAGTTTTTAACATTAAAATAATCAAGATTGAAAATGAAGGTTATAACATAATCAATTATAAATAATCCATCTAAAATGTAAAACATGATTTCATGAAAACAGTGAATGATTTCCTTTTTATAAAAAGAATAAAAATAAAATGACAAGTAATACTTACAGTGTCCGGTATTTGTGAATTATTACAATTATTACTACTAGTATAATTGTGAATATTCATTGTATCTGAAGTATTTGAATAACTATGATCATTTGAAATTTTCAATTGTTGTTCCTGGCGTAATTGATTTATTTGACGATTACATCTATCTAATTCACGTTGAAGTCGTTCTCTTTCCTCTTTCTCTCGTTCATATAATCGTTTATAATCTTTGGACTAGATATAATTTGAATCAAGAGGATGACGATGATGATGCCAATAAGAGGATTGAAGATGTGAGTAGAACAGAAGAAAGACAGAACAAAAGGAACAAATAGTTAAGTCATAAAAAGTATAGACGTCAAATATATAACATTAAACTAATCATCAAAGAGCACTTGTGACCATGTTATACATAATGCATTAAGATTGAGGAATGAGTCAGTCAACTGAACTGATTAGTACTAAGATATTCGACTTCAGAGATGAATAAGCGATTTTACAACCGAGATACAAGTTACTACAGGTAAGCTGACATTATTTGAATTCTTTATTATAACTAGAAATCAAAAGGTGGCATTTGAGAAGTATTGAAAGAAAACCTACTTTCAACTAGGACTGTAAATGTACAGATCTACATTGATTTGATCATTCGGAGGAGTAGCCACTATTTGATGTGTGATGGTGAAAATAAGATGTAATTAAACATTAAGCATGAACTGGTTACTTCTGCATTATGGATTTTTACCCTGATCTTGTTGTGTAGACTGCTTTTAATTACGTTGAATCAAGTATTGTCTTGACTATCGTCTATATTTGTTTGTGAATTGTGTACCTGGTATGATGTGGTTCATTTTATGTATAGCATGTCAATTGAGTATCCAGTCTAGTGATAATATTAATCTTGATTACCAGTCGTATTATTGTATTTTATTGTAAAATAACGTGCCAAACACATAAAAATTTAAATTCTGTTCTAAAATCGGCATGTTAGTCCATGCCACTGGGATAGTAAATTATAATGAGTAATAGAATACTAATTGATTACTGAGTCATTTTACATCAGTACAGTGATGAGTAGATATTGACAGAATGAAAAGGGTACAGAATTCATACATTAGACCTGACAGTGAGATCTTGATCAATTGAAGAATGAGTGATCTACAAGTTAATTGCCTTCAATCACCTATGGCATTTTAACGTGTTTATTTTGTGTTCATATTCTGTATATAAGTATGTTATTTTATTACAGAAAGAATTAATTCATTTAACTAGTGGTCTTGTTTTTAATTTCTAACCATTCAGGAGCATTAGTCAATTATACGGTCTCGTAAGTAGGCATCAACTCGTTTACACTTTCCATCGTTGTTTTCATCCATCAATCAGCATTATATTCATTGATTTTAACAGTCAAAATTTCAGTATAGGGGTTGTAGAGATTATTAAGTTTTTTTAATTAAGATTATGAACTTAATATTCTCCACAACCCCTTTAATGATAATTACCATGTGCACACTAGTGACTAGCTTCGTGAGGGAATTCTCGGAATTCTAGTCCGAAGCCGTGACCAGTGAAGCTAATCCATGTCGAGTAGAGACCTCAGTATAATCGAAGATGGTCGCGCAAGTTCATGGATTGATTGAGCTTATACATTAACACCATTGGATGCCGGCCAAGTGATCCAGTAGGTTGTGTTCGCGCGCGAGACTGAAGGTCCTGGGTTCGAATCCCACGAGCGGGATCGTGGATGTGCACTGCTGAGGAGTCCCACATTAAGACGAAACAGTAGTTCAGTGCTTCCAGGTTTTCAATGGTGATCTAGCACCAATCGGTTCATGATCTCAATGAAAAAAGTCAAAATTTAGTTTAATCAAATTATAGAATATCTCCTTTATTATAGTGACGACGGAGATAAAATCGATCATGAAAATGTCAATTTTTATCCATCATTCAAATAATCTAATCGTATAGAGGACTTATTGAAATCTTTTTAAATAAATTAAAAACTGAACACTCCACTGGTTTGAATAATTGTTTTCTGATTAGCGGTTTTTTAGCCAATTAGTTTTCTACAGGATGCGGTCGCTAACTCCATGCCCAACCCTCTTTCTTTATCCGGGCTTGGGACCGGCAGTAGCCCCAGAGGGGCTCCAAACGGAATCCTCAAGGCCAAAGGAGAAGAGGAAGACCAAAGAACACATTACGCTGAGAAATGGAGACAGACATGAGGAAAATGAACAAAAATTGGATAAAACTGGAAAGAAAGGACCAGGAAAGAGTGAGTTGGAGAATGCTGGTCGGCGGCCCATGCTCCGTTGGGAGTAACAGGCTTAAGTAAGTAAGTAAGTAAGTAAGTAAGTAAGTAAGTAAGTAAGTAAGTAAGTAAGTAAGTAAGTAAGTAAGTAAGTAAGTAAGTAAGTAAGTAAGTAAGTAAGTAAGTAAGTAAGTAAGTAAGTAAGTAAGTAAGTAAGTAAGTAAGTAAGTAAGTAAGTAAGTAAGTAAGTAAGTAAGTAAGTAAGTAAGTAAGTAAGTAAGTAAGTAAGTAAGTAAGTAAGTAAGTAAGTAAGTAAGTAAGTAAGTAAGTAAGTAAGTAAGTAAGTAAGTAAGTAAGTAAGTAAGTAAGTAAGTAAGTAAGTAAGTAAGTAAGTAAGTAAGTAAGTAAGTAAGTAAGTAAGTAAGTAAGTAAGTAAGTAAGTAAGTAAGTAAGTAAGTAAGTAAGTAAGTAAGTAAGTAAGTAAGTAAGTAAGTAAGTAAGTAAGTAAGTAAGTAAGTAAGTAAGTAAGTAAGTAAGTAATTAAGTAAGTAAGCAAGTGAACACATCACTCATACAACATTAATCTAGAAGTCTAATTTAGCTCATTTCATGAAATGATCCAATGGTTGTAATTAATAGTATGACTAAGTTAGTAATAACTATAAAAAATCATAGTGAGAAACTAAATGTAAAGCAAAAAAGGAATAAAAATAAAAAGAGAGAACAATTCCAAAGTACATATAACATGGAGATTGATGAATGAGAAATAAATGGAATTTAAAAAGAAAAATATATTTTGACGTATATAAGTTAATTGATTGGAAGTAATCAAATGTATTCATTGTTTAATCATAGATTATAATTATTTGGTATAATCTTAAAACAAACTATATGCATCCATTATTGCACATAATACATTGAAATAGTTATACAACAATATTATACATTGATGTCATACTACTAGATATCTTCTCAAGTACTAACACAACTAGTAGTATATATCGAAATAGAAATTAAATAGCTAAGTATATATGATCTAGATTCTGCATATTTACTTTCATTTATTTTATATCAACTCACTATAACTAATAGGAAATTAGTTGGTTAAGAATTTTAGCCTTTATAAATAGAATATTTATCAATAGATTGATGTCATACTAATAAAGTAAAAAAAACATTCAACAATATCCGTTCATTATCAACATTTTCATAGTCTACACAAAAATGTATCCTGTAAATGTACATGAATAGAAGAAATTAATTACGTATAGTTGTTAATCAATAAAAGGGACAATTCAACTACATATTATTGTTATCGTCATCGGTAGTAATACACTAACATATTAAACGTGAATATCTTATGTAATATTAGTAAATTCATATGGTGGTGATTGTGAGCACTAGTAGATGAGAACAATCGATATTGTGTATAGGTGTATGTAAATACATATATACATACAACACCAAATTACGTCACACGTACAATAACTATTACTTAACAGTTAACAATTAGTAATAACATAAGACATAATGAAGTGTTTCAAATAAATAATGAGGTGAAATTGTGATAAACCGGAGAGGAATAAATGAAATATATATACACGTAGTTAACTTGTAATTACAAACACAATATCTATTCACTTAGTAGAACATAAAACGATTAGTGTCACTAATAGCAGATTTTGTAGCAATTGGGGTAATGGTTAGAATTCTATTATTAGTTTTAACGAATCAGTGGAATTCAAGAAACACATTTCGTCTTACGTGGTATTCATCACCTGGATATCCTTGTATCCTAATGTTGATGTACATACTGAGATTACAGTTTAATTACCTAACGTTTTACATGCCAAACGAGTTATTCACTGAACAACTGAGTCTATATAGCTATAAGAGTTCATGAGACAAGTATCAAATAGAATGAAATACGAGTCTTCAATTCCACTTTTAGCCATTATTCAAAATAAGAGCTCGTGACAAAAATGGCATAGCATAGAAGCGATCTGTTTAAGATGCGCATAGATCAATCAATATAGACTAGACTGTTGAAGTCCTTAGATCTCCTTCACTCTTAAAACAAATGATTTGTTTCCACAGCCGAATTGACATAATAAGCATTTAACTTACATTCTAATATATGCATCTATTACACCGTAATGATGAGCTGACAAGAGGGATGTGGTGTTTGCTCAAAATATCTTTCTTATCCTCTATTCATAGACTTTAGGCAGTGATGGATTGTTAATGAAATATTCCAATTGTAGGATTGACAGATATATATATATATATATATATATATATATATATATATATATATATATATATATATATATATATATATATATATATATATATATATAGAAAAAACAAATCCATCATATTGGCAAAGACAACAGTGAAGAGGGAAACAAAAAAATCAAACTATCTCACATAACTTACATCTTGCCATTGTGAAACGTGATCACGGGGAGTAGGAGTTGATGAAGAATAATCTGTACTATTAGTAGTGTTATTATTACTGTGATGGTTATTAGTTGAAACAACACCACGAGCACTATTCAAACTACCAGTGGTAACATTACTGCTATTTGATGTGATTTGTGAAGGATTCCATGAATATGTAGGTGTGGAGCTTGAATTACTACTTGTATTAACTAATTGTGTTGACTGATGAAGGAATCGACTTGTAGGCTGAATAAAATAAAGGAAGAGATTAGGCAGTTATCGGGAAAAAAAGATAAAACGACGTAAGTATATGTAATATAATCGAATGCATAGTGCAGGAATATGATTCGTGTGTATATAAATGCATTTTTTATATCCACCGATTTCTAAGCTTTCATTTGATTTATAAATCGTTGTCATATGCCTCATTGTTCTAGATTTTTATAAATTAACTGTCAAATTGGTAACTAGAAAGTCACCGGTCCTATTTTCAATATAGGTAAATTAATCGATAATCAGACATGAGACAGAAGGAGAGAGAGTACTTTCCTGTCATTACGCCCCAACCACAGGGGAACTCACACAACCTAAAAAAATCTGCTTTATAAACAACATGACATATACAGTTAGGAATAATAATCATCATAATATAGTGCCAGCCCTGAACCATAGGTTTCAGCATTTAAGTGAATGAAGAAGTCTGCGAATAATCTTATCCATAAAAAACATACACATATATGTGATATAAACAATCGAACACATTCTATGAATTGGTGTTTTATCTACTTTGATGTATAATAATAGTACCTGGATTCAGAATAACTTGAGAGTTACAAGAGGAGTGAGATAATTTGACTTTTAATTTGAGCCTTATTGCGTTAAAGTTAGATTAGCCTAGTTGTAGTTCGTGTGTTGATAATTACAAACAGTGACTGAACACGCTGAGTAACATGTCTCAGAATTATTAACAATTGGGTAAAGACAAATCCACAATTTTACTTAATCTAGCTTCTCAGTTTCAGTATTCCTCAATATATTTACCATGTCGTTTTGAAATGTAAGGTAGTAATAAGATTCCGCTTTGTAAAGATGTATCATCCTAAGAATAATCAATAGCTTATAATTGAAATCTACTTGTTGAAAATAACGATGACATATACATCGAATAATATCCGTACAAATGATATATTAAAATTTGGAGAGTTATAATGATGAATTGACGATAAAAAAAGCAGTCAATTGAATTCGAATGACTACACAATATACTTTATATATTTATCAAATATACTATATGCTTGTCGTATGATTGCAGTGAAACCTATCTGAACGTACGATTCAATCTCTAAGAATGTCAAGTTTCAAGTAACATGCAACGTACTGAATGGTAGCTAAAACTTTTAGACAATGACGAAACTTTGAAAATAGTACACTTCACTCTATTCAACAAGTTATCACTGCCACTAGTTAAGTCTTAAAACTGGCGAGATAATTTGTTAGATGTTACTCGAAGAACGATGTGTGTGAATACTCTGAAGCATCTGTCCCTTATAACTAAAAACATGCTCCCAGGTAAAAAAAAAGGGCCCTAATAGTCAAGTTTACTTTTTTTAGGCACCTCACAAGGTGGAGTATGTGTTCACGGTGTAGGACGCCCAAGTAAAACTAACTCTGACAGTATTTTATCTAAGATTGTTATACTTCTTATTACTTTTTCAACCCCTAATAAATATTATATTCTGACTATAACCATCTATATCTGATTCCATGCAATTTTTTCCGAATATCTCAATAGTACGTTAGTGGCTCAAGTGTAAGAAATGACATCCCATAATTCTGATTAAATGATTGTTAGTGATGGAATAATCATTAGCAGACTCACGTTCAAGCTAATAAAGCGACAAGACACTTGATGCAGAACCAAACAGACAAGATTTCAGTAGTATGAAATAATCGTTGAAAATCGAGTAAGGCTTGACAATCGGTAATCATTGAGATCATACATTTTAAGATTTCATTATTCTCTTCAAAAACATTGTCTTCTTATAGCGTTATATCTCAGTCAAAGATTACAATTTTTTAAACGACATATTTTACACTCTCATACCTTTTCATTTAAATGACAATTATTATTGACTATCAAATAGAATAACAGTAGGCGGCTCGACCGTATTAGCAGCTACCTAACTTGATGTGACAGTCGGAGTTGTATATCCTGAAGATTGGAATGGGGGATATTGGCTGAAATACTTATTCTTTTAAATCCTACCATGATAAACGGGTTGGCTGGAGAGCGGTAGGACTAAATGCATCAACCCAAGGTTTATGGACGAAGTTTTACTGGAGGCTGAACTGGGTTGTGACAGGTGTTTCCCTCAGACAACTAGCATCTGAAGAGACGCTGTCTTTCAAAAAGAAGGTAGACGATCGAAAAGAATAGGCCTTAAATATAGCACACCTCACCATAACACATGGATCCCAGTTCTCAACTACATGGCTTTATAAGCGCGGGGCAAACACATCAAGAACAACACGCCAGAAGACTGAATGACTGTGACTAGTGAAAAAGCAGTTATCCCATTGAGTGTGGAAACCAAAACCACCACTAATCAAGATTCTTTTCCAATAGATTCACAGAGTCTTCCTAAATATGACCATCTGAGAAGTGAGAACCGCTCAGATACTACTTCTAAATATACTTAAGTTCAATTTTCTCATCTCAACGAATCGATAAAATGTAGCAGCTTGAATTGGCACATATGTATATCAGGTCCTATGTTTTATATGACTGACTATTAGTCGGACAGAAAAAAACGACCACTTTAACATCATCATTACTGTATCCTTAATTTCCCAACTGGAATCTGATTAGGTTTATTGGTGATTCTAAGCCCAGGTAAATAAGAAAGATTGGATATGGGGGTTAGCGATTTCATCCTGTAAAAAAATAAACCATTTTTTTAGAAAGATCATTAACCGGGGAATAAAACTATTCAAACCAACCCATTCAATATTATTTAAATTAATTTTAAAGAAAAAGGGCTTTAATCAAATTCAATGACCTATTTTGTATGATAAACATTCAAGGTGAAATACAGAATCCAAAAGACTATTTACATCAAAGTAATTGACATATTTTCCATTCTAATAATAATAATAATAATAAGGGTGTACTTTTTATTTACAGAAACTCATGAAAGAAAATATATTTCTAATTATCTTCTCTAATTTAAGTCAAGTCAATTCTCTTTCTTTTTTTTTCTCACACCCTTTAAAGTGTTTATCTATGAGTGATTTATTTAATATTATATGTATAATCATGTGTTTATTAAAGAAAAGAAAAGATCTCAACTAAATGGAAAGAATAAAGAATAAAGCATGGTGATTAATGTACAGTTGTGATAAGAAGTTTGTATACAAAATGTGAATTTTATTTATTTAATTCTACTTTTGTTAGCAGGACATAGACGGGATTAAAGCATACTCAATGCACGATTGCTTTTTGTTGCATGCTGATTGGCTAATTCTCGTCCAATCAGTACTAGTCAATACTTAGTGAACACTCTAGAAATTTTCTCGTGTGAAAAACTATAAATATACTAACGTTTTCCCTATTGCTCTTGTTGAACGCTTACTTGCTTCTTACTTCCATCTAACCTTGTTATTTGGAATATAATCTTTTGCCTGTTCAACCGTGTTCTGATTTGGGGAATTGTCGAGTGAATCGGTGTCCGAGAATACTAAGCAATAGAAATAGCTAGGTTATAACCGTAAGAAAAAGATTATAACAACTTTCAACGAGTTTATCAAATATCGTCTTGAGGTATATTGTGTATTAAGGAGTTAGGTAACGAATTGATACCTAAGTTACAGAGAACAAGATTTGAACTAAAAATCTAGTCTGTTTGAAAGTTGACAACTTTCATCAAGAATTCACAGATGAGGTTAAATGCGATGGGTATGAAAAAGAGGATGGTGATCAAATTCGATTTATAGAAGATCAAAGAACTAATTCATAACTGTGCATTGAGAAGTCAGTTATTATTTATTATGAATAAGTTGATTGTTGGGTATCATCATCAGCAGTTAGTTAATTAGCCATGATCGACGATATCAGCTGATGAAATGAATATCCATAGAGTAGAAAAATTATTAGGATCAATGATAACTACGAAATAATCTTAAAAATCAAGATGATCGAGTGAATGGACAGACCTGTATCACTGTGGTCGACTTTCACCGATATCACCCAGTACGTCCAATCATTGATCCATGTTATTTAACAGTAGTAGTAGTAGTAGTTTTTACATACGAACAGTCAATGATATGATTGATTAATGACATGACATACGTCTCAATTATCACAGTCAATAAAATATAATAACCTTATTAATCAGTTCCAGATTTTCATATAGAACTTACATATTACCCACTTGTTCATCCCACTGTACGTGTGTTATGTTTTGAAAAAAACCATAATCAGTCGCTAGCGAACTACGAATGTACCGTACCCTACCACGGTTCAGAGTCATCATTTAAACAAGAGAGAACTAAAGAGAAGTATATGAAACCTCGTTCGGGAGACGGAAATTTCGCTAGCGCCAAAATTGATAAAAATCTGAAAAAATCAACTAATCAGGGTTCATGAAACTTCTAAGATAAATCCGTATCATTAGTTTAAGCGTTGACACAGACCAGTCCTTGAAGTAAGAGTTTAGATGTAAAATGGCAGAAATTCATCTCAAATATTATTACATAACAGTTCAAGGAGATCTAAAACCAACATTTTATAAATTTTCATCGAACAGAACAATGTTATTTATGTACTTTAGATTAATAAGTGCATTTTTTCCTGGTAAAAGATCAATCCTTTGAACACCACTAAATAGCCAATATCGAATGAAAAAAGAGATGAATTTCTATTTTGAATCATAATATTTAAAAAAAGAACACATATGACCCTGGAACCTTAAACAGTAAAGTTGAGTGAATAGGTAAAAGAGAGATTTGCTTAGAAATTTAGTGTATTACACATATATTCACCATGTAATATACAATGTTATTATTTTGACCTAATTGGCAAACAGTTAAATATGTCTGAATATTTTGATACTATGAATGGTTATTTTATTGAGAAAAAATGTACCGAATGTTACATAAGTTAATGGATTACACTTGTAAATGTATAAAATGCTTTTCGATAAATAGAACGTATCATTAAATTGTCAGTCCTAGAAGTTACAATGAAAATATCCTAATTATAGGGTCGAATAAGTGTTGATTAATAAATTGGTTTTTGAGACTTCAAATGAAATGAAATTAATTATATGTAATCCTTTTATGATTTAAAAGGATTATACATAATTAATTTTATTTTATGATTTGCCCCCAAATGTCCTGGTACGGCCAAGAGTGGGGAGAGTCAACTCTTCCTATCAAAATCCTCTCACATGGCCACGCGTATATAGCATCTACCAAGGAAGTCCTACTCACTGCATTGTCACGAAATTGAGAGGACGAAAGGCGAATGTCTAATCGACGTGGAGAGTCCACCTAGGGGAGTTAGAAAACCCTGATTCCAAACAAATGGTGCACATGGGCTCCAGTATCCTGAAGAAACGAATGGCGTATGAACTAACTGTTGGTCACCGGGTACCATTAAACTGCATCTCCTTACGATGCTTTAGTGCCTTGTGGATCAGACCTTGAGGTTAAAGGCTCGGTGTGTGGCCCCCTAAGTGAACCACGTGTTTCGGTTCGGGTAACCGGGTAGTATCACAGCCCTCACATAAATCAAATGAGATTTGTGTAAAGCATATGTAATTGGTGCCCCCTTGTATTAGTACTTATGTGTTCAAATAAATAACAATTTATGATTTGGCTTATTGAATTATAAAAATATATCTTTTCATATTAATAGTTCTTGTTTATACCGAGTTCAGGTCAAAGAGGGTTGGAGACGGTTTTTTTTAGTATTTAAAAAACTCAGATATACTTTATAAATTTGACACTATTCTACAATTTGTTAACCAATATGGTTGGTTAAAAAACACTGGATTTTAACAGTTTTCATTAGAATGAAGTGTAAGTTATAAAAATGGATATTTGTCATAAATACCATTTAAAATTGACATTTTTATTGAACATTTTACATAGGTATTAACTCAACTGATTAATAGTGTTTGAGTAAAAAGCATACAAAAAAGCTGATATACTTCTCTCATATGACATAATAGAAAGTATCAGATGACGTAAGAGATTATGTAATACGCTAAAGTTTATGAAATATAATAATTACCCTTTGAATAATCCCTTTAACATCATTTTCATTTTGAACAGTGGTAGCATTGATACCACTAGTAGTATTTGTAGTGGTATTAAAGAATCTATTTGTATTTGTATAAGAAGATGGTGAATATTCTGATCGCCCAGAATTATTAGTAGTATACGATGAATTCTGATCTGACATACGACGTTCAAAAATATCTGATACAGCAGAAAATGATTTACTGGATAGTACTCGTTCAGGTGGGTTACGTTCACGAATATGACGACGTTCACGAACTCCTCCTGATGTTGTATAATCAGTTTTATTCTCTGACGTAGGACCTTTTTAAACACGAAAAAATAAGAAAAAATTATTTTCATGATAGGTGTATTATTCATTTTGTATGTAACTGATGATTTACAATTACATTCTATTTGTCAACTTAAAGGGGTTACCGGATTATTTATTAGGTAACTTAGTGGCGGATTCGATTTATGCTAATAACGGTACGTCCTTTACTTGGTTATTGCAGAATACGATAAACAACTAATGGCACTGGAAACTCCACCATCGCAGATCAGAAGATGGGAAAAACATGATAAGTGAGTATTGGGTAAAAATCGAAAATGTCCTGAAAAACATGGGTATTTATCGATATTAGTGTTGGCCATAACATCATTTGAATTCAGCTAATCTGCAAGGAAGCAAGTTATTCTATTGTCCGATTGTAGCATGCTACGATGACATTCTAGAAAGCCCCATCAGGTTCTGATTGGATGGAATCTCTTCAAGTCTTTTTAAGCCTCGGGAGGCTCCGTCGTGCTTCTCAAAGCCGTCCCCACAAATAATCCTAATGATCTTTACTTAGCCAATAACATCAATGATAAGTAACAATGGTTGGATATTCTAACACGAATTGCTTCACGTAGATCCTTCTTAATCAAATGCCCATTCAAAAACAGAAAAGAACAGTAACCTGATTCACTTTTGTATCATATGTTCTATAGCTGAAAAATTCACATGATAATACATATTATGACAAGACCATAAGTCATGATAAATGAGGAATCACAATACATGCATAACCAAGTTATTTGCAGCAGAAAGTTGATTAACGGGTAAGTAAGTCAGTTAGTCAGTCATACGAAACGTAGAACCTCGGAAAACAGTTCAAGTAACAAGTATATATTTAACTAACTGTAATGCGTCCATGGTATTGCATACATCAACAGTTAATAAGTTGAATGACGCTTTACGATTAGGGTGAAAGAAATATACCACAAACGAAAAATTTAACGTATAAACAATATGTATGCATTAATTCACCGTGGAATAGCTCCAAAAAGTTAATCTTTTCCTATTATTCATCAATATTTAACAACTAAATATCGATTTAACTCCGCATGGAGTCCCTCCGGGGGCTAATGCCGGTACTAAACCCGGATAAAGGAAGAGGATTGGGCATGGGGTTACCGTCCCCATCCCGTAGAAAACTAACTCGCTAAAAAAAACGCTAACCAGAAAAAATTATTCAGACCTTTTAAACTCTGCCCTGGGAGTCAGAAGGTCTTCATTTAGAAGAACTATGACGCCTCATGATGAAAGCCGAATTCCTTCGGAAGTCACGAGGTCAATGCCCCTTCTGACAACCAAAGAAACCATTTATTTAGGTACATGGAATGTTCGTACAATGTGGGACATCGGGAGAGCCCTCCAAATTGCTGCAGAAATGAGAAGATACAACTTAGAGGTACTTGGGATCAGTGAAACACATTGGACGCAAGTTGAACATCAACGACTAACTTTAGGAGAGCTTCTGTTATACTCCGGCCATGAAGAAGAAAATACCCCACATACACAAGGAGTTGCATTGATGCTGTCCAAACAAGCACAGAATGCACTTATAGGATGGGAATCTCATGGACCAAGGATCATCAAAGCCTCCTTCAAAACAAAGAAGGAGGGCATTTCAATGAACATCATCCAATGCTATGCGCCTACCAACACACATTGAGGAAAGTACGCAACTGCGTCACAAGATAAGCCTTCACATGGAATCCTCAAGGCCATAGGAAAAGAGGAAGACGAGAGAACACATTACGTCGAGAAACGGAGACAGACATGCGAAGAATGAACAAGAATTGTATGGAACTAGAAAAGAAGGCCCAGAACAGAGTGGGTTGGAGAATGCTGGTCTGCGTCCTATGCCTCATTGGGAGTAACAGGCGTAAGTAAGTAAGTAAGTAAGTAAATATCGATTTACAGATATGCTTGATTTTGAACTACACTGTTTATACGATAAATTACAAATGATACTATTCAGTTTCATAGAACTAATCAGATATGGTGATGGGTTCGAATCTGAAACTTATTACTGACTAAAAGTGAAATGATTTAATTAATATAATCCATTATTCTAATACATTTATTTATGATTGTTATTCTCAACAATTTAGTAAATAAAAACATATATATAACTAATTATTGGTGATTGAAAATAAATTCACAAACATTTCTTATATGACTATTATTTATTGAAAATATAATAGATATTATTTAAAGGTAAACAGTTTCGATGTTCATCTGGTTGTACTAATGAGGTATGGAAAATTGCACCGATGCATACATGTGCCTAGTCCTACGTTGTAGCTGATTAATTGACTGACTGAAACAGTTTCAAAATAGAAAACGAATAATCAATCTTTAATTTTTTTTCAGTAAAAATTCTTATGATTAATGAAAAATCAATTAGACATGAAATATGTTCACATGGTATTTAACAATCAAAAAGTGACAAACGATTAAAATGGAGTCAGTAAGTGAATGAACAAATAAATAAATAAAGTAAAACACAAACAAGGGCCGCATTCCTACATATGGAACTCAAAACAACTTTCAACCAATACCAAAGTCACAATCTTCAATACCAACGTCAAGTCAGTTCTACTGTACGGAGCTGAAACTTGGAGAACTACAACAACCATCATCAAGAAGGTAAAAGTATTTATAAATAGTTGTCTACGCAAGATACTCAACATACATTTGCCGGATACCATCAATAACAGCCTACTGTAGGAGAGAACAAACCAGCTTCTAGCTGAAGAGGAAATTAAGAAAAGACAATAGAAATGGATAGGATAGAAATTACGCAAATCATCAAACTGCATCACGAGACAAGCCCTAACTTATAATGCTGAAGGGAAACGGAAAAGGAGAAGGTCAAAGAACACTTTACATCGGGAAATAGAATCAGATATGAAAAGGATGAATAACAACTGGAAGGAGCTGGTAGTGTGGTGTGAGCTACTTATATTGACATAAGTAGTATATGACGTGCGTTAAAAGGATGTAAGACCTGGCAGTAGAAAATGGAGAAGATCAAGAAACGAAGGGCAAGAACACAACGGAATTTGTAAGAAATCGCATGGACAATGAAATGGGAGACAATGGATTAGTGTTTGCAACGGAAACAGTACAGTTTGATATGATACATTGATAATTTGCAAATTGACGATTGACTTTATGGTATTCAGATTTTATTGAGATAGTCTGTAATTTTCGTGCTAAATACATTCGATTGTCCCCACCCGTGTTCTTGTTCACTACATTTGGTGTCGCTGCCAACCGGGAGAGGAGGAGGGTGCTGTTCTGCGGACGCCGTTGCGGGCCTGGAGTTGAGGTGCCAGTTGGAGCAGTCTGGTGCGGAGAGGTGGCGTCTGGTGGAGTGTTCTGGCGGGGCGGCGTTGGCTGTAGCGGGTGCTGTCGACGGAGAGAAGCGGTGGGACGCGCGGCTGCTGGGCGGACATCGAATGTAGATGGCTCAGCAGGCCGGTGGAGTACGGGTGTCAAGCTTCCCAGGTGCCGGGTGGATGTCGGTTGTTGTTTTCCCGGCAGGTTGACGGAGCTACGGAAGTCAGCGCGCCGCAGACTCGACATTTTGACGGAGAGCGTGGCACAGGCTGCAGAGACGGAGAATGTTGCACGGCGAGCACGAACCACCACAAGAACGACTGCTTTAAAGGGGGGGACGAGTGTGGTGTGAGCTACTTATATTGACATAAGTAGTATATGACGTGCGTTAAAAGGATGTAAGACCTGGCAGTAGAAAATGGAGAAGATCAAGAAACGAAGGGCAAGAACACAACGGAATTTGTAAGAAATCGCATGGACAATGAAATGGGAGACAATGGATTAGTGTTTGCAACGGAAACAGTACAGTTTGATATGATACATTGATAATTTGCAAATTGACGATTGACTTTATGGTATTCAGATTTTATTGAGATAGTCTGTAATTTTCGTGCTAAATACATTCGATTGTCCCCACCCGTGTTCTTGTTCACTACAGTAGGATTGCCCGGGACAGGGTTGAATGGATAATGCTAGTGAGCGGCCTATGCTCCTTCACGAGGAGTAACAGGCGTAAGTAAGTAATAACATAAACAGTTAGAAACCCGATATAATTAATTACTATCAATATAATAACAATAAAAGGAACATTAATCAGAAAGAAAAATATATGAAATTATAAACGTTATTAAACAAAAAAATACTACTAACTAGTAGCTATAACAACAATGCTAATAGTGAATATCACTCTTAAAATCATCTTAACAATAATAATAATATAATAAAAACGACAACGAAGAAAAAAGAGGAATAATACACTCGAATCACTTAATTATCATCATGATTCATTTTGATGAAGCTACTCAGTTACCGTTGAGAATAAATATTTACTAAATTAAAAAGAGGCGAAACCTGGATAACAACTAAAGAGAATAACACGTCAAAGAGATTATTTTCTCGAAGACAAGCCTAATTGACCTGATAAATACGCACTCTAAAAGTTTATTTGCTATATATATATATATATATATATATATATATATATATATATATGGAGAGAGAGAGTATAGATATAAGTAGAATAGATGATAATATTATTATTAATTGTATGTTCTAAAGTTCGCTCTGTAGATACATAATTAATGTAGTTGTGTGCATATCCATAATACCTAAGGTCTACTAATACCATCATTAACAATCCATCTCCAAACAGTGATACAATTCACGACTGTAATATTTTGAATGTGGTGATAACCAATAGAGTAAAAGACAGATGACGTGTGCTTTTTTTTAGATAATTAGAACTTGTCAATTGTACGTATGTATTTAACTGTATCTCAGTGTCGTTGTTTTATACTACGAAATAAAATGTAACACCTATTGATTTTAAATACGAAGAAAGCAAACTTCATTATTATACTTAATTAGAACAATCTACTCGTAAGCCTATTATAGTCAACGTAGAGTCTGACACGTTCATACGCTATAGCCCAAGTCGTCATACCACTCTAGAACAAACATTGAATTAATGTAGTAACAATGAAATAGTGAGAAAAACCGAACGAAGAAGTGGAGAGATATGTATTCAGGTGTTATATCCTTGATCTGTCTACCTAGTAAAAACAAGAGAGAACTTGTCTCAATCTAGATTAAGGCCTTGACACGACAGGGAAATTTGTTTAATCTTAAGCCCAAAACTGAGTAAGTCCGAATTGAGACTAACGGCCTTGGGCAGAGAGAGGAAAACTATTGTACTAATTGATTGGTTGACAAGGGAGAGATGAGTCAACTGGAACATCATTCAATCTATTCCTGATTTCCAATTCAAATTAGTGTACAAAGATAAATGGATAAATGAATGACTAACATGATTATAACGTACAACACAATTAGGAAAATTCAATTATGTCCTAACTGAGCACTAAGATGTAAAAATAGAATACGAAATTTTACGCTTAAATTACAGTAGCTGCAGAACAGTAAAAGGTATGGTAGTGAATCATACATCAAACAAAAACGTATAGTTTAGAGAATAAACCAGGGACAAAACTAGATGTTAGTGCTTTACAAGTTTTGAAATAAGTGGAACCACGTTGCCGAAAAGGTATTCCGTTTTCTTTATGGTTTCTTTATTTCATTGTTCACATTACCAGGGATATTGGAGATCAAGATGACCCAACCACTTGTTTAATTGTTATTAATTGGTTGTTGTAATTATGATTGTTAGAATAACTTATCCATTCTTCATAAAGAAGCCAATAGTAGTTTACACACAATTTGTCTATGCAACTGATTAAGAGTCATATTACAGACTATCAGGACATATTAACGTAAATGAACGGCGCTGTAGAAATTAAGGCATGTTTAACCATTAAACTGATATGTCTTGTGAACAATAAACATCAAGGGAAAAAAATTCCATTGAGTAGTATTTATAAATTTCATGCACTGGTTTTATAAACCGATTTGGTATCTTATAGTTCATGTTTGTTTTCTTTGAGAGACCTGATAATTATCAATGAGTTGGCTAGAGTGAAAATATAACCAAACAATAATCAATGGAAGATTTTGACACAAACATATGGACAACGAATGTCAGTGATGCTAATTAAACAATTTTACTTGGTATAAGATTTTTATTAAATATGTTAATAAAAAAATGACTGGGAACTCCTAGAACCTCAATATTTAGTCACTAAATTTGTACATTGACTTGAAACCAACTGTTATGGATCATACTCCACATTTAAATAATCATTTACAGATTTAATAATTAGGCATACATTAGATAATCATAAGTTGATTTATGATTAGAAAACGACCTATTTGATCATTTGCATCAGAAATTAAATGAGATTATGCGCAATCCTTTCAACGTTCAATGTATTTCTTATATCCAACACTTTCGTCCACTTTTCCATCTATTTATTAAATGAATACTGCATATTGAAGAGTGAATTTAATCAAACATCTCATTTCGAGCCTTTAGAAGTATCCTCTTACAACTATCTGCTATGATCATCTATCTCAGTGTAGTACAGACCATCCGCAGCGGAAGAAAAACATAAATACAATGAAAATTAGAGTTTGAAATTAAGATTATGCTCTAACATGAAGCCTCTACTTACTGAATGAACGAAAAATAACTGAAAGTTCTGGGTACAATCTACTTATTAAAAGTTAAAAACTTTGCGGATATTAAACTGTAAAATGCATTTTAAAAAAACTAACGTGCAGAGTAACAGTAATAATTAACAAATGATATCACGCTGCTCTAAATAGATAGAAATAGATCAAGTTCTTGTCTCGTAAAAAGGTACAGACACTCGATAGATGAAGTGAAAATGCACTAATTTTTACATATTTTTAATCTAAACAGATTAATAGTCAGATTTTAAATGAATAAATAACTAGCACTGAATAGTACTTGATACCAATTAGTTACTAATTTAATACATAAATCCAATTTATAAATATCACACAATTGAACTGTTACGACCAACAATTTTAATTCATTTATTGAGTTGTATTATCACTCTTGCCTAATAAATCTAATCAGTGTCGCACATTAAATAGATAATGTCATTAAGCTGTTCAATTGTACGACCGCTGATACGTATTCAGGTATTTTAAGCGAAATCATAGAGAATTCATGATCACAGAGTAAATGGTTCTGATTTCGTACTTTTCTTCACGTTATCCTATCCATTTCATGCATGTATACGATCTATGAATCATGCTGATAATTGATAGTAGGCGGTTTAATCAGCCTAGTTATTGTAATACTAAATTCAGATTTCATTGATTCATTATTCATATTTAACTCTGTATAAGTCATACAGTATATTGTATTTGTCCGATGATGAAACAACTGTCTAATGCTTCAGCTGATATATACATCAAGATTAGTTTAGTAAAACAATTACTATCCAAATTAACTGTGTGATTACGAATAACAAATGCTTTTTAATATAAAAAGATGTAACAATAATGACAACAACAATAATAATAATCCATATTACATTAATTAAAACAAAAGTAATGTTTATTTGTTTGTGTTTCAGTTACTAATTAATGTATTAAGCGAGAACAGTTTGTGTATTATATATATATATATATATATATATATATATATATATATATATATATATATATATATATATATATAATACACAAACTGTTCTCGCTTATATACATATGATTCACACTTCTTGACCTAGTGAAATAAAGTGAATAGGCAGTAATTGGTTATATAAAGAATGAATAAATGTAAAATAGTGCATTGATTTGATGCAATTTCTCTAAAGGGCTCTATAACAAACAAAGAGGTATTCATAAAAGACAATTAATCGCACTTACCTAAGTGGATAACATCAAACAAAGTCAATTACTGTTTTTTTTGGGGGGGGAGTGGGTGATTTACATCACAAATTCATTTTTAGGTAGATACAACCATTGAAAAAATAGAAGTTGGTGAACAGCTGTTTGATTTAAAGTATCGAACTGCCTAGCAATGAACACTCAAAATATTTAGTCTACTAGAAATTAAACATACAAGATTTAGGTCTCGTGATGAGTGAAGGTTAACTGAGAATCACTAAGTTGTAATCAATCAATTGGTATTTACAAATTCAATCAGTATACCATATTGCAGAATCATCATTACTGTGTTACACCTGATATGGTCAGACGTAAAGTCATTAACTTATCTTGATTAATTCTACAAACTGAAGAAATTACATATATGCAAAAGCAAACTTTACTAGCTATCAGTAAGGATTATACATTGGTGAGTAAAAAAACCCCAGCTTATATGAGTAGTGTATTTGTTTACCCAACTAGGTAATTTGTTGTAATGAATGGATTACTATCATTATTATTATTATCTGATTTAAACCTTTTTCAAAGTATAAGTTCTATAGGTATTCACTAGTTAAGTTTCCTACATAAAAAAATATTTTAACAACTCTGTCGAATTTTATGCTGCAGATGTACGAAGCACTAATTTCAATGAGAAAGTTATATATATTAGTATAAGAATTTGTGCAAATTGTGGGATTTTCACAGCTGAAGTCTGAGATGCAGGACAGTGAATCCGCACTGCTGAGGAAACCCACACTACAACAAAGCAGCCATGTAATGATTTTAGGTTTGCAATGAAGATTAAGCTGAGAGTAGTTCATGATTTAGACTTTAAACTACAATTATAAATACACTATACAGTTCTATTTGTAAACATTTGTAGTTTCTTGTCGTTGATGTTAAGGACTGTACGCAATTAAACTATATTGGTAAATTTGTATCGTAAGCAGATTAATTTAGCACTGCCAATTATTTATAAGCTTTTATTAAAAGTCGATATTAACTAGTAGTGGAATACAGAACGACAGTTTCAACCGATTTAGAACTCACTAGATGGATATAGCTACACCTCAGTAATGACATTTTCACCTAATTAAGTAGCCCAGTGGATAACGCGTTCGGCGTTTCCAGCGAAAAAGGGATTAGATTAGTCTCAGTGTGAATAATAACAACATATGCATATATATAACCGACGAACCCCAAATAAGACAAAACGCATGTCTTAGATTCAAATATAAACCAGCAACCAACTTTAAGAAAAGTTATTAAAGTTCGGTTTAAACATAGGTTAAATGCGCTTTACACTTTGAAAATTTATGCAACACATTATAAATTTAAATATTCCTCTTTTATTTCAAGTTACCAGATTATTTTCAGAAATATGATAAACTTACTATGCTCTACAGATCGTACTTGTGAAATATAAGCTGACCGTCGTGAATTACCATCATATATAGAAGAATTCATGTTTGTTTCACCTGAGAAGTTAACATGACGACCAGTTGAAGCCTTCAACGACAACAACAACAACAAAAAACAAATGAAAGAAATATGAATTTATTTGGATAGAAAATTATTGATAAGGAATTTCGGTATGATAATGTAATCATAACTGACAGATATTGTCTTATCATTATTAAAAGGTTACACTTTTCTGCTCATTAGATATCAAAAATTATTTACGATGAAACCAAGAAAAGTTTTTGTACACTTAGAGATTAGTTTTTTTAATCAGAGATTAACCTTAAATATATAATCAATGAAAATGAAAGAGAGAAAGAATACTAGACAATTATTTCGATAAGTGATATTCCCCCGGCTAAGGAATAAGTTGGAAAAGTGCTAATGTTTGGAATTGGGATTGGAACTAAGACATTATTACATGAAATGGTATGTGTAAACTACCAATGGTTAAAAAATCAGATAATTATCATGATCAATAGTAAGAGATTATGAATGATATAGTTTAAAATAAATTCCGTTAAAACAAATAAATTAGACCTTGTTTTTCTTTATACCTCAGGTTTAGAAAATTACTACTTTATACTTTTGATTCCGCGAATTTACATGTTCTGCACAAACGATACTGTAATGAATGAAGATTTAGTGGGGACGATCAAACTATTGTTTAATACAAGATTACAAAATGTCATCAGAAAATAAGAGAATCATACATTAAATAATTGATTTGCAAATCTTTCATTAATTGTCCTTTACACTCTGTATGATTCTTCCAATTCATAATTCCTTTCTATTTTGTTCAACTTGATCTTCTTAACCTTCTGCTACGAGGTTTTCCACTTACGATTGGTGTTACTATACAAGTTATGTTGACAGACACAAGTAGAATACACCATAATACTTTTTATATCCCATGTTTTCCACTATTACTGATATTATACTATTATTATATTATTGTGATGATGTAGTATGATAATGTAACAGTTGGTATATTATAGGAGAGAGTGATTGGACAATTGTTGCATCCTAGTTTGCGGCTGAAGTGAATAGCAACGACCATTTACAGAATACAACCTACAATCTTTATCTATTCTCACTTGAGAAGACATTACTTTATCCTATACTCTCAGTTAAAAAACAAAACACCGTAGATCTGATTAATGGACATAGTTCAAGTGTAATTGGTTCTTGTTATTAAGATTTCAACACAATAAAAAGGAATAAATTACATGCAGGTAATCTACAGAATTCAAAATAATTGCATTAATATTAGTAAAAGAATATATATAATGAACACAGAAAATATAGTTAGTTAATGATGGACTAATATTGAGGCACAAGATTCAAACAAACATTACAATTGTAAAACATCTACAAAGCCGTGAAAAAAAAAACTCCAACATATGAAGATCACTCATAAGCACTGAGAAGCATTTATTATATGACACGGCTCAGCATAATAATTGATAATTATATTAGGCAATGTTTAAACTTGTGTAACATCAAAAGTTCACTAATCTACTCTTAGTATAAACAATATAGCTCTCTTTCTCTCTCTCAGTCGTTCTAAATGATAATTTGACACACATCAATGGATGAATGCTGACTCAGTACCATGGAAACCAATTCAATATCCTATAATCAGTACTCCATAATTTTTATCTAACATCGATACTGAAGATTTTTTTTGTATCCTACTAAGGTGTATGTAAAATATCGTTTACATTATGATGAGACATGACCATTAATTAACAAACAGAAGAGATGATTTATTCTGTTGTAAGCAGCATATTTGTTTGATTAAATACCATCAATTCATCTAATTATCAATTGCTTTAATGCATGTGCATGTACTACGACTAATTTTCAAGATGGATAATAATAACAACACAAAGTAACAATTAAATATTAAAATAACCCCAAAAATCTTTCTTTAAAAATAAAAAAAAGAGATTATTTCCTATTTACAATTTGATCTCTGATGCTTTGAAGAAAAGAAATACCAGGACGAAACGGCCGTCCAGTGCTTCCAGGTTTTCAATGGTGGTCTAGCTTCAACTGACTCATGATTTAAAAACCTGTGAAATTTCTTAAATTCTCCACAAAACCCATTTTGATAATAAAAAGAAATATCATTGAATTTCAAGGAATAATTATATTGTGTTTTGATATCTAAGATTTCTAAAACTCTTATCACATGATATCGCAAAGAAACATTCAGTTATTTAATTTAATATGAAACGTTTGTAACCATCATATACAAATATTACGCATGAACTACACATTTCGATCATTACAAGTGTTATTTTTTTCTTTCTTAATAAAGCATATCACTAGTCTGTATACAGAATGCGTACATGTACACACTTTAATATTTTAACCAGACATACCTTACATTACTATTATTAATACTGCACAGTATGGTATGATTTACAAAATACACGGGCAATCGAAGATACTTATATTGTATTGTTTTCGTGAAGAAAAAAACATTCACAAAATACAACAAAGTTCATTTCTATCCTATAAATATATACTACACACAACACAAAATGCAATCTGTGTCCATATCTCTATTCTGATGCTTATGCCAGGATAATCAAAATAACTGTGAATTGAAGGGATGCAACTATATGCTGATCAATAAAATAATTTTGCATGATAGTACAGAAGCAGAAGGTCACATAAAAGCATATATATATATATATATATATATATATATATATATATATATATATATTCTGTATTGGGAAACAATACATGTAGTTCAGGGGTATTGTAGTATCATAAATGTATACCGCAACCTAACACAATCAAGGTTATAAAGTGAAAATTGGAACATTGGTATTGATAGAAAATGCTAATAGTGTCTATGAAAAATAATATTTTGTATGTATACGGTTGTAGAGATTGGTGTATTCTGTAGAATTTTTTGAACGGAAGTTAGGCTAACATTAAAAAACTGGAAGCACTGGACAGCCGTTTTGTCTTGGTATGAAACTTTACAGCAGTGGACATCAACGACCTCTGATCAAAGAGCTTCGAACTCAGAGCATTCAGGTTTGCATGTGTACACTTAACCTCTAAACCAATGAGCTTGCATCCGACTATGTTAATATCTAACTTCGATCAGTTCACGATATTGCGCGATCAACTTTCATGGTCTTCGGTGAGTAACTACCTCACACTTGACATGGGTAGAACATCAACGGTCATAGCTTCTCACTGAACCTATGTGAATTTCCTATCAAAGCTTGTTGTTTGCCGAACTCACTAATGATTACTGATTATCAGTTTAACATCTTTCTTACACATTTCTCTTTGGATACATTTTCTTGAAAGTCACGTTCGTTAATCCTATGAATTTTAGGTGGTCGAAGAAAAGTGATAGATTATAAGAGATAAGAACACCGAACAAGGTGGTATTTTATTCAAAGTAGTAACAGTATACCAAAAAAAGGAAATCATGAGAAGTGATGGGGAATCAAAAATGGATGACATGGATATGCAGAAGAGACATAAAAAAATTATTAAATTCAGGATATACACCAGATGAACTGGTAGATGCACATAGAGGAGACCAAATGAGGAAGATTATTCTTTACGGATACAGAAAACAAGTTCCTATTAGTGAACATTAGTGGCAGCCTTATTGCACAGAACGTTTTATTTATCGCTACATTTAACCGATTTTATTTACATTAGAAGTTTGTTCACCTTTAAATTTCGGAATCAGTTTTTATGTTACCAACTACGGGAGTGATGATAAAGAATATACACAGATGAAAATGAAATATCGTTATTAATTTGATAGTGTTTATTAGGTGAATTATGTTTCAACTAATCGTTTAAGAAAAAAATTTTCAATCCAAATGGATTCTAATCATTTTTACTTGAATTTAACCCAAAATAAGTGTCTGTTGTTTGTTAAACTAACTGGATATGAAAAAAAGGATAAACTGTAACTGAAAACCGATGAACTTTACAAAAAAAAAATAATAAAGCGTTTAAATAATTAGGGTCAATGAAGACTAAAATTTATTTTGTTGAGATTTTTTGTGAGTTTAACAAAGTAATCCACAGCCGCTAGATTTTTCATAAACTACTACTACGATGTTTACGTTGATAATTTCATCTCACTGAACTAATTTGGCATGCCAACTTGAATTGGTGTACACGTGTGCTAGGTTCTACACTGTGTTTGACTGACTGACTGACTAAACACAGTAGATGGATTAAAGTGACCACTTAATCCTAACAAACATTAGTTGTGATTATATTGATATTACGGATATTATTAAATGAAATATATTTCTATCGGTCACCATTGTACTGATCAGATGTAGAGTACAAGAAAAAGATGGCAAATAAGTTGATAATGTAATGAATTATTATTGATTGAAGTGGCAAAACAATACATATTACGCATGCTCAACAACCGCCTAAAATAGGGAAGTGTTGGAAAAAAGCTTATTTGTTATTTATTTAAACAAATAAGCGTTAGTACAAGGAGGCACCAAATATTACTAAAACGTTAACGACCTAGTTACTATGTATCATCATTGGGAAATCGTATAGTTAATTCTTATTTCAGCTACTTTTATTTATTTATTTACACATATAAACATTGGTGTAAGGAGGCACCAAATTGATATACGCCACAAAAATCATTCGATTTGTGTCAGAGCTGGGATACTAATCGGGTGCCCAAACTGAAGCAGGTGGTTCATACGCCATTTGTTTCCTTAGGATCCTGGAGCCCATGTACAACAATAGTTTGGAATCAGGGTTCCCCAACTCCCCTAAATTGATCCTCCATATCCACCAACCAGGTTAAAGTACCGGATATTCGCTTTTCGTCTTCTCAATTTCGTAAACAACGGTAATGCCGCGAGGAAGCAGTGAGTAGGACTTCCCTGTCAGTGGTCGTATGCATATGGCCGTGTGAGAGCATTTCGAGATGGATAGCTGACTCTCCCCAATTTCGACCATACCAGGGCATTTGGGTGAAAATGAAACGCAGTGTTACTCTATGTCAAGTCATCGATTGTTGAAATAAGCCATATAGGTAAGTCCACACAACATGGCTGGAATCCGTGAGGTTATCATCACCAATATTTGAAGATGCTGTATGACATGGCTCAGGATCGGTCAAAATGGCACAACAGCATTAACTTCATCTAAATATGTTTACACACTTTACTCCATGAATTCATTATTTCTCCTCAAATCATATCGTTTGTATCTAATCTTCACTACTATTAATGATACTTTCAAAACTCTGATAATTAACTTGATAACTTCGCTATTTTGATTTGCTGTAAGAACTTAAAATGATATACATATCTGCTAAGTTCTACATTATGTATGACTGACTGTATGGATTTTGTAAAAAAAATATTTGTTTAGTCATTCAATGGAGGAAGCATAGTGTTGAAAATTAACAGAAAACCACACTTTTTTTAATTTGTTAACGACTTAGTTGTGTACATACATCACAAGCTAGGAGTCACAGGTTAAATGATTATGATAAAAAATCTTAGGCGGTGAATATTTTAAAATTAAAATATTATAGATATAAGAGAGAATTTACTTAATATTGTTTGATTATCACAAAAAATTGATTGAATATTTCCTAACTGAGTGTATTCAACCACTACTTAGTGCTGAAAAATAAACAAACAAACGAGTAGTACACCATGGTAAGAGTTAACTAAGAATAGTTGATCACATAGTACAGTACACACAGTTCGGTTAACAATAAAGCGAAGGTATGAAACATTTTTTCTTAACACAAAAACTTACAGAAGGATGATTTGAAGATCGAATATCATTATTTTCTCGTTCATTAGTTGAATAATCAGTACGTGCAGATGATCTGCCAGTAAATGTATCGCCACTACCAGCTACAGTTTCAGAATTAGGTCGAGATCTCAATAATTCAGTATCGGTGAGTCGACGAAAAAGATTTGTAGGATTGTCTGGATATGATCTACTACAAGCTGAAGAAGCATGACTTAGCTTGATAGATTTATTATTTGGAACTCCCGATGTACCAGTTGATGTTGTTCTATCAGATGACGACGATGTATCAACAGTTGGAATTGAATTCATTGGTTGGGAATTATCCGAAACAACAGTACTACCGTTGATATTTTTATCAGCTAACTTTTTAGCCTGCTCTACATCTTCTGATGAAACACCTTGAGTAGATCGTCGAGTAGATCGGACATAACGAGCTTTAACACTACGTTGTGTCTCTGTTTCACCGGACTTTGTTGGCGCCATTACAACAGATATTCTAACGACAAAAAAAAACAATTCAGAAAATGTAAATTAACATACAAGTTACAAATTATTGATTCACAGCTAAATAAACGATAGTTTATTGATTTTCTACAAACATTATACAAAAATACAAAGAAAAAAGGTTTATTATATCTCAGAAGCATTGTGAAAAAGAATTTTTATGGATTCATTAATTTTAAATGAAACTTGGTATAATTAAGCTTTAAAAATAGTATTCAGCTAACAAAAATATTTGTGTGTGAGCTAGGATACTAACCTGAACACATAAACCGAAGAACTTGCTTTTCTTAGAAAGTCACTGCATAGGTTATTGCAATAGAGTTCTAATATTTACGGCGGCAAAGCAATGTCAAGAGTCGCCTTACTGTGGTGGCAAGGGACGAAAATGAGTTCATATACCATTAATTCACTCAGTATCCTAGAAGCCATAAGTTGGGACTTTTGAGTTCTCGAACTATTCAAGGCTGACCCACGTAGCCAACAATCCGGTTTAAGTACTTTTCACCCTTTCAATTATGTAAACAACAGCTTCGTCGCTTTAAGGTAATGCAAAGAAATTCCCTGGCAAGGATTATCAAAACACTGTCGTATAAGAGCTCTTCGAGAATGAGAGAGAATGAACGTACTCTTAAAACCACAGGACAATTACTTCATCCCAGTATATGTCGCGATAGATTCTATTACGTTAAAACAAGATAGACTTGTAATATTCAGTTAGACATTTTAAAAAAAAACGGATTTCGGCGACGCGATATTTTTTCAACAAATTTATTATGAAGCTATACAATCCTATATATATAGACACTACTCATCTATTTAAAAACGGTTTACGTTGGGAAGAAAGCATATGTAATTTAGTCGTTTTTTTCTTATTGTAATACCTGGCAATGATTATTCAGAATTACTACATATCGTAAAATCCGAAGATAAAACGATATGAAGATTACGAAGGTAACCTGAAACATGCAATGAAACTTAATTACTATCTTTGATAAATTTCTTCATTGCAAAAAGAAACATTAAATACGTTAACTTACCGTCGATTAGTTGTAAGCTCAGGAACAGGACTGGATAATTTACTTTGTGCATTATTCACGGTTGCAACACTTTCCTTTTCATCAACATTCGTTTTTTGTGGATCACTTCGCTGAAATAAATATAGACAATTTAAAGCGGAATAAAATACAGGTGAACAAAATTATCAAAGAAATATTGAGGCATTGTTTGGATATAGATATACCATCGACTATTTTTAGACGTGAGATGGTTGGAAGTAGTCAACGGGTTCGAACCCCTCTTCAACTACACTCGTGAAGGTAAATAGGTAATGTTATTATCCCTCTCATGTGGAGGGGTTCAAAACCTAATACATGAGTCTACATTTAATAGATAAGTGAATTAATGAATCAAACAGTTCTCCATAATCGAATAAACAGAATTAAGTTTATTAACTAAACGTTGACAGTCTAGAAATATCCTGTTACGCTAGTAAATTGATTATTCCACACACTATAATGATTTTTATTTGTAGAGAAAATCACTGAAAGCACGGATAAAGAGATAATCTAACAAATCATACTAAAACATAATAGGTAACTTTCTATTTATATTAGCTCTTACCCTAGGTTTGACAGCGATTATTTTCGTAATTGACCGTCCTGTTCCTGATGGGATAGTAGACGTAGCAGCCGTTGTTGCTGTCACAGTTGAGGAGGTTGATAATTCTTTATTAGTAGTAATATTATGTACACTAGTTTGTGATTTCTCATCAACAGGATGTTTATTTTGTGGAGTTGATATAATACTTACAATACCGGTTTTATGTTTATTCGTTGTACTTTCACGTAAATCATCACTCTCACATTTTTTATCTGTTGTAATCTCTGATTCTACCAATTTGGGAACTAAATGTGATGTAGATGATGAAATAGGACCGGATACACTATTAGTAGGTACAGTTAAAGGAGGAGATCGTGATGAATGACGAAGTGTACTACGTGGCTGTACGGATGTTGCTGATGATGAGTATGAAGAAACAGGGATAGTCGTCTTCATAATATTATCTGACACTTCTTTTTCCATTCGATTATTATTACCACTGGTAAAAGATGGATAGTCATTATTCACATCCGATGATATAGATGTTGTCGAAGCGACCACGACAGGAGATTTCTCTGGTGATAATGATTTCCCAGGTTTTTCCAATGATTTATTAGTATCAATCGATAGAAAATCTCCACTGTCTAATCGGGATCCAAAGTTTTTTTTCAAAAAAAACAGTAACAGGTAAATATATGTGATATTTCAAATGGTAAGTTCAGCAATAATTAATTTTCTCAAATTCCTGATAAATATGAATTAGGTTAGACGATTCTGTGAAATCATTTGCTATGATTTAAAATTAATTTTTCATCAGGAAATATTGTTACTTAGAGAACCCCTGAAAGCTATGAAGTGACAGACAGTTACTTTTAGATCCGAACCACTTCTTCCTAAGCATTGGAGTATAATAGTTCGCATTTGTATAACTTTATCTTAAAGTTCAGACAATGTGCAAGCCCGCGATGTTTGAGAATAGAAGTTTTAGAAACAGTCCTTATATATATAGTAAAACTGTCTATTTATGCCGAGGTTAGGGTAAGCTGTTATGTAAAGATGATAAATTGACTGAAAAAAGTCATGGACGACCTTTGAGCAATGCTAAAACGACCTTGGAAATTTCCATTCACATACTAGAGTTAAATGAGCATAGTAAATTAGTATGAAGAATTAGGATTTACAGTTGGACGTTAGAATTAGGAATTAGATTTGATATTTTCATCACGAAATGACATCAGCTGTAATGTTAAATGCTATTTAGTTAAATGAGCGAAAGATCGCGCCAAAATTCAAGACCTGCTATCTTAAATCTCAGTGGTTCGTCCATAAATTATAGTCTCGCCAAAAAGATAAAAGCTGTTATTTACTAATAAGGTGGAGAGGACAAAGTTTTACAAATGCTCAATCACCAACTACTGTTATGAAATGTAAAGATGGCTAGTGCATTAAGAGACCGAGAGAAAATGTTAGCCATATGTTAAACTAAACCATGACATCAGTCGTTGAAATCATTGACTAGTTGAAGTTATTCTGAGAAATGCGAAGTTCCCAAGATTTATAATATAATTGTTACGATTGGAGATATCTGTGGGTATTGTTGCATCTTACTGAAATCATGAACAGATCTCAGTTAAATAACCACCGGAGACCTAAAAGCATTGGACGACCGTTTCGTCCTAGTACGGGATTCCTTAGCAGTGGTGCAGCATACAATTGGATACAAACTGTAATTTAGAGTTTAGGCTTTCGCACGTGAGACCGAAGATATTGGGTTGAACCGCCGGTTACAGATCGTGAGTGCATAATGTTAAGGAGTTACATACTAGAACATCCAGTGCTTCGAAGTTTTCAATAGTTGACTGACTGAGATCGGTTCGTGGTTTGAATAAGTTGACAGGGGTAGAGGCCTGAAATATTTACTTTCTAGCTAAACTATATCTCTAAACACAATATCATTATTTTTGTCTATCAGTATATAATTGTAGATTCTAAACCCCGTTTTACCACTGATTATCGATCAATGATTACAAGTGACTTAACCGAAATAGTTAGGGTGAAACCCTAAACGAATCGATTTTTCGGAGAAGATAGAACGACTACAGCCAACTAACTATATATTACATATATGTGTGGTATTCAACCATTTATCATTTATACACACTATATTCAACTACGAGATGGGATATCTTGTGGGATAATGGCAAAAATGGTCAAGTGCAAAATTAAATATTACAAAGTAATCAATAATTCTACACTTCTACACGTCCTCATGATTACTTAACACCAATAATAAGTAAAATATATTTCGTAAATATTTCAAATAGTTGCTACTCTCCTCCTCTATAAACAACTAACAAAGTATCACATACGAAAGATGAAGTAATGTGTCAGCTACCTGATGACGGTAAAGTTCGTTCCTCGTGGACAGAAGATGTTATAAATGATTGTTGATCAGTTGAATGATTAAAATTAGTAGTAATAGTGGCGGATTGCAATATCTCCGTTCGTTCTTGTACAGATAATAACGTAGGTGGAGAAGCGGTAGTGTTAGTAATAGTATTCAATACCATATCTTCATTGTTAACAGTTTTCTTGATTAATTTTCCATTTGTCAACAATGATGGAGTATCATTTAACGATGAGTAAATATCTTGTTCAATAGTTGGCTTTTTATTTACACAATTAGATTGATCAATTTCAATAAGAGAATTATCATCATCGTCGTCATCACTACCTGTGTTAACATTTTCATCAGTCTCTAATTCAACCGGATGACTAAATAAAAATTTATTAAAGAACAAAAAAATATTAACTGTGATTTAGAAAGGTGAGTAAGCAAACAATAATCATGTAGGAGATTAGCAGCAGTAGAATGATGTTAATCAAGCAAATTAAACAAAATATCAGGTGAAGTTAACTTAGTCAGAGATGATCAGATTACAGTCTGTAGAACATGTGAGTTGGGCTAAATTGTCATAAAATATTAGTAAGATGAGAACAATTGAATAAAATGAATAGTAAATTGATTGAAATAATGGATAATGGCAACGAAAATGCAGAATAATGAATAATGTGAATACAGTTCAAAAAGATGGAATGGAAGGGTATGTATAAAGTAATATTTGTGCTCAAGATATAGAGGAGGCTATAGACTGGATGTATCTATGCTATTATGGAAGATTCTAAGCTGTGACACCATAAAAGTTTTCAACCATTTATCATGGTTATCGTGTGAACCCTAAACGAGGTAATACAAACCGTTTAATATAACTCAGTCTAATATTCAATAATTCTATGGGCAGATGTTACAACATAGTTTAGTGACCCTTAATTTTCTTCATATAGAAAAGTAAGAATCGTAGGATGATATATTTATTATCGATCAACTACTTTGATATTAGAACATATACGAAATGAATATATGTATATATAGGTAATACTTGTGAGATATCTTATGAATGTTTTGTTAAACTCCATTCACTATACAGTATATAATAGCTTAAAAAGATTTTATTAAAAAAAACGGTTATAAATTGTGACAAAGAGTAAAGGGGAAGATATCAATATCCCACTAGTGATAATCGCCGTTTTTTGATGTACCGATAAGTTGAACTTTGTCAGGTATATTTCTTCACTTGACAAATGTACTTCAACATGTATACATGAATACTAGAGAATGACCAGTGTTAATCCGCGTAGTTATTTATATACATGTTGTTATTATAGTTGACTTTCTTACCGTATATAATTTAATTTGAAATACATATCGACTGTTCACAAATATTTAAATCGGGAATGCAAAACAATCACTAACTAGAAAATTATAAAATATAACACATAGTAAACAAATTTTTAATTAAAACTAGATATATAAGTTATAAAGTTAAGGCAAATAATAAGATTAATGATAACAATAATAATCACAATGTATTGATGCTACTATTATTATCATTATTGTAAAAATTTCGAAGTCATCTTTTACTTAATACAAATAAATAGACAATTTGCTTGAAACAAGTTTAATATCAGCAGACAGTAGAAAAGTGAACAAAAATCATCAGATGGGGTGAAAGGTACGTTGTTGCCTTTTGTAGATAGAGCGAGTCATATATATATATATATATATATATATATATATATATATATATATATATATATATATATATATATATATATATAGAGAGAGAGAGAGAGAGAGAGAGAGAATGTATGTGTGGAAGGAAAGAAGAATGAAAGATAGGAAAAAATAAGAGACAGAGATTGTTTGCGCTACAACAATGATAATAAAGTAAGGTTTGTATTAAACTCTATTATCACTTATTAGTGTTAAGGTCGTAAGATAATGTTGGCTGTGAATATTGTGGTCTCGGAGTTGGATAGCTCAGCTGTGAAGTAATAATTATTCTTCTGAATAACAGATCTATTTATTGATTTGAACACACAAATACTAGTACAAGGGGGTACCTGATACATATGCGCCACACAATCTCATTTGATTTGTGTGAGGGCTGTGATACTACCCGGGTACCCAAACCGAAGCACGTGGTTTACTTAGGGGGTCACACCCCGAGCCTTTAACCTAAACGTCTGATCCACAAGGCAGTGCAGCATCGTAAGGAGATGCAGTCTAATGGTACCCGGTGACCAACAGTTAGTTCATACGCCATTTGTATCCTCAGGATACTGGAGCCCATGTGCACCATTTGTTTGGAATCAGGGTTTTCTAACTCCCCTAGATGGACTCTCCACGTCGATTAGACATTCGCCTTTCGTCCTCTCAATTTCGTAAACAACACTTGCCATGACAATGCAGTGAGTAGGACTTCCTTGGTAGAGGCTATATACGCGTGGCCATGTGAGAGGATTTCGAGAGGAAGAGTTGACTCTCCCCACTCTCGGCCATACCAGGGCATTTGGGTCATTATAACGACCACCATTGTGTGTAAATGTATGAATTTGTGTTCACAATTTTCATTTATTATTCACCATAGCATATTCATTATGTGTATGGTATATTATACTAGGCATAAACAAATATATGATGAGATGGAAAGAAATCAAGTTAATATCAGTATTTCCTAATAACAAATATATTTTTGTTATATTCCAATGCGTAAAAGATTGTATTTTTGAAATTTCGTAACTCAATGTAAACTACTTCTTCAGAGCAAACAAATAGTCGATTAAAATTAACATTCGAAATACAATTTTTCTACTCATTCAGATATAACAAAAAATATAATTATTCTTAATCCTCTACCCAGTACTGCTGAATTTATTTGAAACTATCAAGTCCAACCTTGACATTGATACCTATAAAGTGTTTTTTTTTTAAATATTAAAACAAGAAATCATTAAGACGTGAGTAAAAGTCAGTTCATGTACTTTTGTTCCACGAGAAACAAAATGGAAAGTAAAAAAGGACACCATCATTAAACTAAATTGTTACACTCAAGAATTTACAATATTTTTTTCCTGATGAAAAAGTGAATTATCACTATTTTAAATTAAATTTAAAATGATAATTGTTAATTAACTAGTACAAGAGAAAATGTATCTCTTTCAACATGTCCCTATTATCTAGTTTTGAATTAATAATGTGATAATTACGATCGATATAAATTGTTACCAATTAGCCAGTTATGATCCAAGTTGAGCAAGCAATATATATATACATATTCTCAAACAATTAGTAAGACAGAATTAAATGAACACGATGAATACCAATATAAACAAAATAACTGTAATAACAATGATAATTAGAATAAGTGAACATTAGAAATAACTATTATTTAAAAAAGACTAAATAAAAGGTTTTATATGAAGGAATATTGGAAATTAAGTGTATGAGGAGTAAGAAAAAGTAAATGAATCCATATCAAAGCCATCGATTCTGAGTCAAATCACTTAAGATTCCGAAACACTGATCATAGTTATTGAATATTTTCCTGATTCAACACATAAATATGTCATCATCAAATAACACAATTGATGTTGTATAATTAGTTATTTGTTGTTTTTTTCAATAAATCTTAACAAAATTGTTTATTATTTTTTTAGGATAAGGTTGTGGAAATTGTTCAGTTCCCATGAAATCATGAGTCGATCGATGTTAGATAACCATTGAAGACCTGGATAAACTGGATGGCCGATTCGTCCAAGTATGAGATTCATTAGCAGTGAGCATTCACGATGCCGCATGCGAGAATTATACCAGAGGACTTTTGTCTATTATTTATACAATCAATTTAGTGAACAACACTCACAATATTTGAGAAATATTTGTCGTACCATACTAATTACTTAAATTGTAATATATATATATATATATATATACTTCATTAAAATCAATATTTGTTGCCTGATTATGATGACAGTGATTCTTCTCTCAGTATGAATACTTAGTGATTAATGATCATCTAAACATGAAAAACAGAAACCAATTTCAGACAAGTACACATACACACGTACATAAGTTATAGATTATTGATTAGTTTAATTGATTGTCATCGTAAAGTATGAGAAAATGCATAATTATTATGAAACAATTTAATTAGCAAAAGAAACATTGACAACGGACTTTATTTTCAGAACTGTACAATCGTATATGTACATTTGGTTTAGCCAACAGATACTCAAGTATTGGAAGATCAAATTACTGTTTAATACCATATATTAAATACTTCACTTGCATATCCTCCATAAATTGTCTCTTACGAACTATATTGATTCTTTATTCCTATTCCTATTACAATTACTCTCCCTTTATATTCCTGTTCTCTTCAATTCGATCCTTTCAACATTCTGATGCCAGGCATTCCGTTTCTAATTGGTGTTACATGCTACCTATATCTGTCGACATAGGTAGTATAAACTACAGTGGTATAGCTCAATGAATAAGTGATTATTTGTTAAACTTCGATTAAATTTATCATATGTACGTACAAAAATGAATAACGTTGAAAAAATGAGTTGTTGAAAAGAAATTTCAGCAGAAGATCGATAAGGTAAGGAGGGAAACGGAACGAATTCGGTATGAAAATGCATGAACAAATGAAATCTGAGACAATGGACTGATATTTGCAAAAGGAACAGTGAAGTTTAAGATGGATTGATATTTTGCAAATTAACTACTTACTATATGGTTCTCAGATTTTCTTGAGATGCTCTGTAATGTCGTGTCAAATATTTTTTTATGTGATTGGTTACCAGCTATCATGTGTAGTTTGTCACCTTACATTGCTCCATCGCCTTGTGGATCAGACCTTTAGGTTGAAGGCTCGGTATGTTGCCCCACTTTGGTTTGAGCACACGGGTAGTATCCCAGCTCTCACACGAATCGAATGATTTATGTGGCGCATGTGTATTCGGTGCCTCCTTGTACCAATGTTAATGTGTCGAAATAAATAAATAAGTAGTAGTAGCAGTTGTCGTCGTCGTCGTACAAAGAATTTTAAGAAATATTTAAAATTATATGCACAGTTTGATTATATATTTTATAGAGTAAAACAAAAGAAGCGAGAGAGAAAAAGAGTAGTATATGATAACAAAAATACCCTATAAGATCAAAGTAAGAAAAATATAGGCTATTATTTGTGAATTTAATGAATAATAAGGATAAATAAATTTAAAATAATTTATTTACCTTCGTTTAACTGCTTCTGTTATTTTCGAGGATTCTGGTAGTTTAGATGCATTGGATAATCTTTCCTATAAATATTAAATACATTAACTTATAATTTAAGAAGAACAATAAACAATACTAATAACAGTAGGAACTGATCGAACGCAGTCATTAATATCTTACTTAATAACTTATGCCTGTTAGCCATAGTAGAAGAGCATATGCCACCCATCAGTATTCTCCATCCGACCGTGTCTTGGGTAAATCTTTCAAGTTTTTTTTCAATTGCTACTCAACCTTTTCGTGTCTGCTTCCAATTCTAGACGTAGTGTGTTCTTCGGCCTTCCACTTTTACGTTTCCTTTCAGGATTCCAAGTAAGATCTTGCGTCATGATCAAGTTTCGTGATTTCCGTAATGTATTTCTTATCCACTCCCAATGTCCTTTCGTAATTTCCATTTCATCTGAAAGTTGGTTTGTTCTCTGCCGCAGTGGGCTGTTGCTGATGCTATCCGGCTAACAGACATTAAGTATCTTGAGTAAACAACTGTTTATACATGCCTGTACCTCTTTGATGACGACTGTAGTACTGAAGGTATCAGCTCCGTTTAATAAACTCTCCTGATGTTTTCGCTGAAAATAATGACGTTAGTTTGAGTAACAGTTGTTTTTACTTTCACATGTACCACGATTGTAGGAATTCCGCCCTTGCTTTGCCAATCCATGCCCTCATATTTGCATTAGAGCCCCCTTATTTATGAGCGATGCTACCAAGGTGGTATGTGAGTCTCAACCTCCTCTACAGCTTCCCTAACAAGTGTGATTTGGTCGGGACTCGCTGTATTGTATTTTAGGATCTTGATTTTACCCTTGAGTAATTTGAGGCTTACTGCTACAATGGCTGACTTCACCTACATTTATTACTGAATAAGGGATAGAAGAGCTATGAGTTGGGAATATCAATAATGGGAAATCACAAACCTTTAATAATATTTATATAACGGTTGAGAACAAGTAGGTAAAACAGTATGTGGATTCAGTAGCTTAGTGGACAACACATTAAGCATATAAAGTGAAAGATACTGACTTCAAGTATCAATGTGAACAATAACAACACTGGTCCCGACCGAAGCTGCTACCTTGACGTGGTGGTCGGGCTTGCCTATCGTGATGACCCATCCGAGCTATATTGGCTGGAACATGTGTTCCTATAGGTTCTACCATGCCAGGCAGGTCGATTGGTGAACGGTAAGACTAAAAGCAGCAACTCAAAGTCTGAGGGCGAAGTCGTACTGCTGACTGTACAGAGGTGTGACAGCAGTAAGGTGTTTCCTTCGGACGATCAGCATGACAGCGATGCTGCCTTCCCACAAGGAGGGGTGGGGTTAGAAAAGGTCGACCCTAAAAATGTCACACCTCACCTTACCTCACGGATTTCCGTCTCCGGCGGTAAGGCCATCTGAACAACGGAGCTAACACGTCAAAAACCTTCTACAAAAAGGCCGTGCGCGACCGGCCTCAAGCAGTTGTCCCTTGGGCTCTGCGGTCACGCTCCCAGGTCGTTAAGACCAACACTAATCCAATTTCCTTTTCAGGTTCCTCAAGAAATACCCTTCCACGGTGTGGGCAGCCGGGAAGTGACATCAGCCCTCATACCCGTAACAGCACGCGAGACCAAGTTGGTCACATTCAAATCCTTCCTACACCTAATGCCTCTCTTATCTCCATGACTAACCCTCCTCACGTCTCCTGAAACCACGCTCTAAACTACACGTAGGAGCTTTTAACGTCCGAACACTGTGCCAAATAGGACAGCAGGCTTCCTTAGCTAGGACTTTAGAATCTCGCGCCATCGATGTGTGCTGCGTCTCCGAAACGCGCATACAGGATCCAAGTAGCATCATTCATTTGACCTCACCATGCCAAAATAAAGAACCGACTCGATTCACACTTCGTGTATCTGGAAGCCCTGATTCTGCTTCCCGTGGCCTCGCCGGCGTAGGTATAGCATTGAGTCCTAGGGCAGAACTAGCTCTCTTAGAGTGGATCCCAGTAGACAGTCGTTTGTGCGCTGTCCGACTGAACGGAACAGTAAGAATCCGGAAAGATAGGGACACTCGTCGTTGCCTCTTCGTCGTCTCTGCCTATTCTCCCACTGACTGCAGCTCAGATGATGTAAAAGATGAGTTTTACAGAAAGCTTTCGGACCTTCTCCGAAAAGCTAAGCGCTCGGATGTAGTAATAGTGGCCGGTGACTTTAATGCTCAAGTAGGTAAACTAAGCGATAGGGAAAGACACCTGGGTGGATCTTATAGTATCGTGGCTCAAAGAACAGATAATGGCGACCGTCTGTTGCAGCTATGCTCAGATAACCGCCTGTTCCTTGCAAATACTAACTTTAAGCATAAGGAAAAACATCTTTTAACATGGCGACCCCCTAATTCGTCCCAACGTTGGACCCAAATAGATCACATCGCTATCAGCCACCGATGGAGGGGCTCGATAGAAGACTGTCGCTCATTCTGGAGCACATGCCTAGATTCAGATCATGCTCTAGTACGAGCGCGTATTTGCCTGCGTCTTACTGGACGTAGGAAAAACGCTGCAAGTAAACCTCTTAGGGGCCTACTTAATGATAGTCAAGCTAAGAGTATATTTCAGGAGCAACTAGGAAAACAGTTAGGAAGTCATGTATGTGATGCCCACCCCGAGGCAGCATGGAATGATATCCGAAAAGCTGTGGAAACAGCAGTGATATCTGTTAGTAAGGTAAACCACAAGGTTAGGGAGCAACACTGGATCTCAGCAGCATCTATCGCACTGATAGAAGCTCGGAAACTCATTCCACCTGGCTCTGAACATAGTGAAGAGCGGAGTCAGCTTAAGCGCAAACTGACAAGAAGTCTACGCAATGATCGCGAACAGTGGTGGGTAGCGAAAGCAAGAGAGATGGAAAAGGCAACGGCAATAGGTAATAGCAGACAATTGTTTAGACTCGTTAAGGAAACCGGAATTAGGAACCCGACTATTAGCGAAACAATCTCAGAGAAAGATGGACATATTATTCATTCTCAATCCAGGAGATTGGATCGATGGGCAGAATACTTTAGGGATCAGTTCAACTGGCCTTCAGCCACACTTCGGTTTCCCACGATCTCCAGTCAACCTGAATGGCAAGTTAATGTAGGTCCTCCGTCTCTTTATGAAGTTGAAAAAGCCATAGGAAATCTGAAACGAGGGAGAGCAGCAGGCCCTGACAGGTTTACTCCTGAGATTTTTAAGGATGGTGGTCCAGTATTAGTAATGAGATTAACCAAGGTCTTAGGTAGAATTTGGGAACTGGACGTAATCCCATCTGACTGGTCTCAATCACTGATTGTGCCAGTTTATAAGAAAGGACAAAAGTCCTCTTGTGACAATCACAGAGGAATCAGTTTGACTAATATAGTGTCTAAAATATTAGCTTCAATAATACTTCGACGCCTAATCAAAGCTCGTGAAGAGCAAACTAGAGAAAACCAGGCCGGTTTTCGACCTGGACGTGGTTGTATAGATCAGATATTCACACTACGTCAGGTTCTAGAACACAGACACACATTCAGACGCCCCACAATGGTAGTATTTCTCGATCTTAAGGCGGCATTCGACTCTGTTGACCGTGAGGTTCTATGGCAGTGTTTGTCACTGAAAGGAGTACCAAAGAAGTACATTAACCTTATAAAGGCTCTCTACTCGAACACAACTGGTAGAGTGAGAGCTTATGGCGAACTGTCATCATAATTGATTACCTCAAGTGGTGTTCGTCAGGGCTGTCCACTCTCCCCATTCTTGTTCAACTTTGTCATTGACGTACTTTTAGAGATAACACTCTCCTCATCTAAATTTCCGGGGGTTGAACTTCTACCGGGAGGTTCACTTGTTGACTTAGAATATGCCGATGACATAGTTTTATTTGGTGAAGACGCTGACAAAATGCAGAGTCTTCTGACCACTCTAAGCAACAATGCAAGCATGTTCGGGATGCGATTCTCCCCCTCGAAATGCAAAATGTTGCTTCAGGATTGGGTTACATCGACACCCGAACTAGTGATAGGGAGTGAAGTAGTTGAGTGTGTCGACCGCTTCACTTATCTTGGAAGTTTCATCAGCCCTTGTGGTCTGGTGTGTGACGAAATCTCAGCACGGATACAGAAGGCTCGACTAGCTTTTGCCAACTTGCGTCATTTATGGTGTAGGCGAGATATCCGTCTATCAACCAAAGGACGTGTTTACTGCGCAGCAGTTCGTTCCGTCCTACTTTATGGCTGTGAAACATGGCCGGTAAGAGTAGAGGGTATTCGTAGGTTACTAGTATTTGATCATAGGTGTCTTCGAAGTATTGCTCGTATATCCTGGGACCACCGAGTAAGTAACGCAGCTGTTAGGAAACGGGTACTAGGTAAGGATGGCAAATCAATTGATGAAGTAGTGAAACTTCATCAGTTGAGATGGCTGGGACACGTGTTACGTATGCCCAACCACCGACTACCTCGACGTGCTATATTCAGTGGTATAGGAGTAGGTTGGAAGAAAGCTAGGGGCGGCCAGACCAAAACATGGCACAAGTCCATGAAGTCACTGACAAGTGGACTGAGTCATGTTGGTAGGTGTAGACTACCTGGTTGGGGACCGCGAGATGATAGCAACCGATGGTTAGAGACCCTGAATGACATGGCTCAAAATCGTTTGCAATGGCGCAGGTGCATCCACTCTCTATGTTCTCCGAAATTCTAGTTATCTGAATTCTTCATGCCCCTTTTTTTCCTCTTTCCAAATTTATTTCACTGGATTATACTCGTTAAATAACATCTCCAAACCCTAATCTTCCCGATTACTGCTTATACTCTTGCTACCTCTACCACTACGGGATTTGAATCGACCACTGCATCTCTGTGCTAATGTGGTATGGCAACTCGAACTGATGTACGTACGTACTAAGTTCTACGTTGTTACTGACTGACTGACTGATAACAACACTGGAGACACAAATAGAGGAGATACCTAGCTGAATAGTCTCGAAACAGAGATGCATGTCCTGGATTCTGTTGCCAAGGCCTGACATTAAATAGGTTATCAGTTAGAATTTTCGATATATTCAATATGTGGCTAGTAGTAGGATCCATGACGCGCGTTTCATTTCAGTTAGGGAATTTTTACCTGGATGTACACGTATTTCACTATTTTTAATGTTCATACATTGAGAATCAAACTTGGTAGAATAAAAAAAACGATGACATACAGAAACTACTTACAGCTCTTTGTCTTTCACGAAGTTGTCTAAGCAACACAATCATTTCTTTATCAGCTACATCGAATACAGATTGACTCTGAAAAAAGAGAATAGAAATGAGAGGAAAATGATAATAAGTTTGTTTATTGAGCAATTGTTAGCGTAATATATGAATCAATATTTGATTAAAATAAGTGAATTGGTCTCTACAATCAACCGTAAATAGAATGGCAAGTTATTGTGTGAAATTATTCCAAAGACATGAATATAATACAAAGAACTAGTACTAGCAGCAATATATTTTTTAACCCCGACAGCTTAAAGTTTAACAGACAGTGTGTGTGAAAATATTAAGACCTAAAGAAAGACGAAAATAATTTCTAAGCTCCTTTTAAAATCATTTACCAGGTATAGACAAATCCGTGTAACTGGCTTCGAGTTACACTCGATAAATGTTTGGGCTTATGGCTTCTAAATAGTTGTCGGGTCGGAGTATGGTTCAAACCTGTGAATTGGTGGCTGCAATTCGAACAGTTTAAACACAACTGACCCACTGCTCCAGCGGTAACAACATTTGCTGATTAAAATAGTAGCTTTACAATTTATTATTATGTATGTCCATTATCTTATGACAAAAAGTTGCACAGAGATAGTCTATTACTATTAATCGATATTTTTTATGCTATCTCTGAAGAATTAGCGTATGTAAGCAAATAGACAATCTAATTTATAGTTAGTGATTTATAGTCATCGACGTGAAATATTTTATAAAGATGCAAAATAAGAAAGTGCAATTATTTAACCATGTACAGACTATTTGATAAGGCTAGAGCTCAATTGCAACTGTTAGCTGGACACGATATTTGTAGTAAAACTATTCAAGCTAATTGGTATTGGAAACCTTTATTTATTGAAATTCAAGCAAATGAAAAAAATGAATCTAAAAGTAATATGACAAAACGTTATACTGTCGACTATACTGTAATAAAATATCTTCAAAGAGAAACTCGTATTTATAGCCATTGCATTAAACATAAACTAGACAGAGGTTATGTTATATTTTCGACTTGATTACGACTAATATGGTACATAGCTAATGAAAGTCAAACGCGAGGAAACCCACAGTCGCAAATCAAAAGACGGAAGAAAGCAGGAGATGCGGTGTCGAAAATGTACAGAAAAATAGAGGTATTATAATTTTCATTATAGCTATGACTATTTTAATCCAGCCGATCTCTACGTAGGAGGTTATACAATTGTCCAACCATAGAATGCTACATTAATATCCTAGAAAGTTCTGCCGGAATCTGAATGGATCGGATATTTTCGGCTCCCCCATAGCCTCTGGAGACTTCATTGCGCTTTCTGGGAGTTGTCCCAATAGGTTGGAAAAGTCTATTCTACAAACAGATGCTCACATTAATAAAACTATTTGTGACTAACTACAAGGAATTATCGCTTGTGATCAGGGATTTAACACAAGCACCTACAAAACCATCAACATTGATCCAATTTATTTCTAAACCAATTCAAGAATACATATATGCTTTAACATGGCCATATGCATACAATCACTGACAGGGAAGTCCTACTCACTAGCTACTCGCGGCATTACCGTTGTTTACAAAATTGAGAGGAAGAAAAACGAATTTTCGGTGCTTTAACCTGGTTGGTGGATATGAAGTATTCATCTAAGGGAGTTGGAAAACCCTAATTCCAAACTAATGGTTTACATGGGGTCCAGTATCCTGAAGGAACAAACGGCGTATGAACCTATTGTTGGTCACCGGCTACCATGGTAGTTCATCTCTTGACGTTGCTCCACTGTCTTATGGATCAGTCCTTTATGTCGAACGCTCGGGGTGTGGCCCCTTAAGAAAACCACTTACTTTGACCTGGGCACCCAGGCAGTATCACAGCCTATACACAAATCAAGTGACTTGTGTGGTGCATATGTATTCGATACCTCTTTGTACCAATATTTATGTGTTCAAATAAATAAATAACCGGATGAAACAAAGTTCAAACATATAGATTTGTTAATATTAAATTCATCAAACTAAAACAATCATAACAATGTCAACTATCAATTACTAATGAATATGAATATAGTTAGCGATTAATCAGGTATAATACAGAATTTAGTGAATTTTTCTATAGAATTAAGTTATTCAGTCATCTTTATCATTATCATCATCACGCATAAATAATGCCTAAATGTGATATAGTAATCAATGTTGAAACATTTACTATCCTTGTACGTCATAGATTTATTAGTACCCTTGAGTGGATTATAATAATAATAATAATAATACACTAACAATGAAAGACAATTTTAATTAACCCCTTAGTAATTGTATCAATTGTGCATAACATTTAAAAAAAAAGAGAACACTTTTAAAGCAAAAAAAAATTTATGACGTATATATTATGAAATAAAAAGACATTCATTCATTGAAATAATCTAATGAGAAATTTAGATAGAATTCTTATGACAAATTAATCTAGTTAAAACTTATTGTGTGAATTTTATATTTTCTTTCTATCGTTTTTTTTTTGTATATTGTTGATATGTGAATTAATATAGGACAAACCATTAAGAAGTTTTAGTGTTGTTTACGAAAATGAGAGGACGAAAAGTGAATGTCCAACGCTTTAACCGGATTAAAAAACAATGGTGCACATGAGCTCCAGTATCCTGAGGGAACAAATGGCGCATGAACCAATCGTTGATCACCGGATACCATGGAACTGCATCTCCTTATGATACTCCACTGCCTTGTGGGACAGACCTTGAGGTTAAAGGCTCGGGGTGTGGCCCCCTAAGAAAACCACCTGTTTCAGTCTGAGCACCCGGGCAGTATCACAGCCCACACACAAATATAATGATAATGAAAATGTGTGGCGCATACATATTTGGTGCTCTCTTGTACTAATATTTGTGTTCAAATAAATATAGTACATAAGGAATTTTAGTTGATATTCTAATTGCTTGAGTGATGATAATGATAATATGTTAGATATGGTTAATTTATGTATACTGAAAGTTAATCTAGGCTATTCATCTCTAATATCTAGATGATGTTAGTCTGATTGTAAATGATTAGGCTTAACATATGTCAGTAAGTCTACTTCTGCTTGATGATTGTGATATCTAGCTTAGATAATATGTGAATATTCCACGACTATTCGTGCTTGATTATCGCTGTCTCTTAAAGACTTTTTATATTTAGTTGGTAACACAATGTTATGAATGCGGAGGTTTAGGACTGTGCTTTGTATAGAGTAACGAAAACTTAATTGGTGTCACTAATGAAAAACTGACTCTACAAATGTAATCTTAGTGGCCTCCACATCGTGCACTATTTATTGACACTGACATTAGTATGGATAAAACGCAGAAGTGATCAGTTTATAACATAGTGTTGTGATATGATAGATAGTTGATCATACAACACAGTGGTTTGAGACGTTATTAGATATGAGTTAGACTAAAAACCAGTGGTTATTTTGGTATAGTTTTCGATTACAATCTTCGTACACGTGAAAAGAAATCTTTTAAAAAATGAAATCTTTATTGGCTATATTCCTAATTGAAATGTAGCCCCTATCGAATACTATTCTTGTTCAATTAGTTTCTTTACTATACCAACTTTTACTGCTTTTTTTCTCCACAATATTATCCATTCATTTGTGTAGCATGTTTTCTTGGTGCTTCTCTATTCTATCAGGATTTTTATGCACTTAAATAAATAAATAAATACACAAGTTGAGACACTAGGGATGTTAGTTACAGAATTTGAATAAAGTTAATATATTGGCCCCTAAATGACATGATACGTCCGAGGGTGGGGAGAGTTTGTTCCCCCTTAGAAATGTTCTCACATGGCCCTAGGTTTATAACCACTGCCAGAAAATCTCTACTCACTGCCTGCTCATAGTGAGCGTGTTGACTACGGGTTAATATACCCCATTTCATATCTTTATTGAAGGAACTGACATGCAAGTGTTCAATAGGAAAAGAAATACACACACAAAGGAGGACTTACGGCACGTGTATGCTCATCAAAACTAGCACCAGCGTTAGCTAACATTCGAGCAGATGTTTCACGATTCCAATGTGCTGCTGCATGTAATGCAGTCCATCCATCGAAATCTTTAGCATTTATATCTAAACCGGGAATTTGTAAAAGAATTTCCATTGCTTTAGTATAATCTTTACAAGCTGCGACATGTAAGGGAGTGGCACCAGTTCTAGGATCAATAACTGGTCTATAACGTTAAAAAGATGTATAAGTTAGACAGTCAATTACTTTAAAGTAACAATAAAAAATATTAATTTTAAACATACATAAAATATAAGTAAACTTTGTTGCATAAGAGCATAGAGTAAAATATATTTATTCGATATCCAGTCAAACAGTGACAGATAACAAAAGACCTAGAATAGATGAGGATTGGGCCAAGACGTCATACTATGTATCAAGACAACAATGGATCACAACATGAGCCTACATCATGCCCACATCTGATCCCATTGTTACTAGAAACGTGAGATTGGGTAGTGGTAGTAGTAGTGTAATGAACAAAAACAGGTAAAGATAACCAATTGTATTTTAATACAAAATTAGAATTCTTTCGTCAAATACCTGTCGATATAAGTAGCATATACCACAATGGTAGTATTAATGTGATCGAAAACAGAGTTTTTCTTCAAGCTTTAGAACTAATGAAAACAAAAAATCACACCATCATGAATAGAATAATCGAGAGAGAAAACTTACTTATATTGACCACTGGATAACCAATGTTGTGCATCATGTAAAAGCATTTGTTCTTCTGAATGTTTAATAGCATCACCGTCGATATTTTGCTTTTTCATTGAATCTGTAAGTAGATTAATCATTTCTTCATCTTGTGCTACATCAATTGGTAATTCTAGATCTACACTTAAAATGGAGAGACTTGCACCATTTTCAATTAGAAATCTGTTATAGAGTGTATGTGAAAAAAAAAGGAAAGAAAAGAAATGATGAAAATAGTTGAGTAGTGATTGTTTCGTTAATCAATTTAGAGACATACATATTTTTCAAACTTTATAATAAGAGAAAATAAACACTTTCTATTGTCAACAATTTAACATAAAATGAGAACAAAGTTGTCTAGTATGAAGTAAATTTTTGAAGAGTAACATGAAATAGAAAAGAATTCACTTTTATACATTGAATAAACTGAAGTGTAAAATACTAGATTTAGGTCAACCTTTAAAAAACACTAAATGGACAACAAATCACATGAGTCTCTAAAAAAAAAGAGAAATGTTAGATAGTTGTAGGTAGTTGGTAGGATATTCTGCTTTACATAGTTTCAACCACAAACAGTTAATTGAATTCTATATTCATAGAACAAGTTGTTAGTCGATTGTGGTAAAAGAATTCGAATCGCTTAATCCTTTTCTAAATATGTACTGATGATGTCAAGAAAAACAATAAATGCTGCACAACTAAATCAACCAGTACAAATAATATAATACCTCGAACAAACTAACCTAATTGAATAGAACAGATGGATTATGACTAAGAGGAGAATCCATAATGTATGTTTCGCTCCATTTTTAAGCTCGCTACAACTAGATTTAGGTGGATCCTAGTATTGATATTCATAGCATAGACTCATTTTAAACGCTCAATACTGAGATGCAGATACATCCACAATTCATCTATTCTAAACAATCTTGCGACAATGTGACTACATTGGGACAATCGGCACAGTGTGTATACATGCCAACAAGGACTGATCAAAGTTCAGTCCACAGTATCAACAAGACAACACAAACACTATTACAAAAACTGATATAACCATTAGTACGTTGAATAGTTTTATTTTCTGCATAAAAAACTATTTTCAATATTTAATATTTAAAAATGGAAGAATCAAGAGTCATTAGTTTACTCAACGATATATGTGATAACATAAGCACTCATACATACACAGAAATACAGACAAATCAATGAAATTCTGATGATGATAATACTAATAATAATGATGTAGGTAGGTGGAATTTGTCTATAAATTCTGATTTTTACATTGCCACAAATATATACAACATAAAAACAAAAATCAAATCGATAAAAACATATTAGGGCGAAACGGCCATCCAGTATTTCCAGGTTTTCAATGGTCACCTAAGATTGATCGGTTCATGATCTTCCCGTTGTTGGTGTAAAGGTCAGAAATTATTCAGTCTCTCTTGGCCTATCTGCATTGAGGAACGGATTTCCCTGATGTCGCCATTATATCACAAACATTTTAAGCTAATGGGTACTTAGACTTAAAAGATAAGTTGATAACGCGTTAGAAGTTCTGTTGCCTGCATCAAATGTAATTTGGGACATGAATTATGTATCCCTAACCACTGCCTAAATCGATGCATGTCTGTTGGTATAAGAGTAAGCTGGGGAAAAAAACAAGGGATCAACAAAGCAACGATGTAGCGTAAGTCTATAAAGTGACTGACTGTTGAACTAAAACGTGTAGGTAAATATAGCTTAACTGGAGTCCTTGGGATGAGCACGATTAATTATTGAAGATTTAAAGTAATGTGGTTTAGAATCATCTACACAGAGGAAGATTCATCGACTACCTAACTTCCCTTACTCTTAAGTCTTGAACTCCAGAATGATCTCATACTGTTATCATAAGAATTTTTTTCTTAATCATATTCTGAGTACGTAAGGTTTTCTACTACCACTGACACGACTAATACCGCAATCGCAAAGTCTATCATCTTGGAATCTGTCTTGATAATTTCATCTCATCGTGCTAACATGATGTAGTAACTTAAACCGATGCATATATATTCCAGGTTCTACATCATATATGACTGACTGAATTTGATTCCAAGGATCAGAGAAACAAGACACTGGTTAATATTTAGTTAGCAATCCCTAAAAACAATCAAACTCTATGACAGTAGGTCATTAACAGCTCAAAAACTTCTGTCGTCATATATTTCAAACTGTAACATTGGATGATATGTCAACAATTAACAAAATTACGAGGAGCATCAGTTTCACTAAAAAAGTGTCATCACTTCTTGCAATCAATCATTAATCTAACCAACCTACATATTCAATACAATAAGCAGTTATTCAGAATTGATATGAAAGGAAAACGTTGAATTCGATTACAAAAAAATGGGATGTACTTTTTGCACAATATACATTTCAAGTATTCTGGTCACATACACATATATATATATACATTTATTAGTCAAGGCATTTCATATGATAATGAAATAAGGTCAAACAAATGATTTCTAAAAAAACGGAAACATAAAGAAGTGATAGAGAATACCACAGAAAGAATAATGTTTTGGCACTATTCCTGAGGTTAATGGAGAAGTGGTGTAAACTCGATTTCTGTCTATTGAGTTGTAGATTCAAACACCATTTTAAACGGGATAATAAATATAATTAGCCCTAACACGAAAAGAATCAGTAAAGATAAATTTGTAATTGATTACTGAGTTAAATTACTCTTAGAATTAAAAATAAAATGCATAGTGTCACAAGAGTCCTAGGGTAATAACTAGTAAATGTTGAGGGGATTCCAATGTATTCAGCCGAAGAGTCAACAATCGTCCAGAAAACGCTTAGAAACACTATTCAACCGGCGTTGAATGAAAACTCTTTAAAAGCATCCAGAAAGTGGAGAGTAACGTGTCACCTGCTTGATTGGGTATTTACCTAAACTTCAATTATATTTAGTATGCTCGGAAAAATTTCCAGAAGCCAAAGGTTGTATTTAGCTTTATGAATACCATCGTTTTTTCGTACATAAACAAAACTAGGAGTAAAGCGTTTTTTTGCCCTTTGCGCCTTTTCTCTTATGTTACGGTAGTCGTGTATATTCAATCTGATGTCATTAGAAGAGGCTAGGAAATCAGATCGACTGTTCATTTAGCAGACTTATCGGTAACAAATAAAGATTTAAGTTTTTAGTAAAAACACTAACGAATTAACTAGATTAAAAGTAGAGAGTCTTGGATTTTTGCACAAAATTCAAAATACAATGGCGAATAGCACCTGCCCTACAGACGTCCACATAAAAATAAATAAGACCAACCAAAATTTAGTTGTTAAGACGCTAAAATATGTAAAACTACAGAATATGAAGTTGAGAAACTCTCCAAGTGATTATGACGGAGATAGTGTGTACGATTAGTTTTTGAAGAAAAAAATTCATGGGAAACAAATAGAACTAAATAATATATAACATTTTAACATAATTAACGAATTATCCAAGGTAACTTGCAGTTTCTTAAGATTTGAAATGTGAAAAAAACTAACTTCATAAATATTCATCAATGCCACCCCATAAAGGATTCATTCATCATTACTCTAACCCCAAAAAATTCTTAATCACGAAATTATCCATTTATATCACATGATTACTGAAAATTGATTTTACTTTCACGGAGATATTTTAGGAGACACTGAATATTATCATTACAGTGTACTTTCGTTGAGTTTACACCTTTTATGGGAACTAAGTTTCCATGTTTTAAAATTTTAAACAGAACTTTGTATTTTTCTGTTCATGAACTCCACAATGAACACAAAACTTTATCCAATTAGTGTCTCTTATGAATTCGAATAAAAAACAGGAGAAAATGAACATGAAACAAATAATTCATTGTATTCAAAAGAAAAAAGTATTTAAATGTTATATTCGTTATTGAACAGAGAATATTTTATACTAATGAAATGATTAATATCATTTTTCCAAGTTTAGTTTTGTATAGTGTTGAATGATTTGAAAATAGTAGAGAAGATTTTTAGTTTAGATGAATGATATTTGTGGAAATTCGTCCTCTGAGCTGGATGGGTATAATAGTGAAGATTTGATCATTCTTTTAATTAACATCATATGCACAAACTTTAGGAAAGAGTAAGATATTAGAATGTCTATACATATGACTGACAGTTTGTTCTGTCGACCTTGAGCTTAACTGCTTATTGATGACTGATATATAGTTGACAAGATAAGCTGTTAGTCATATGTGAAGAAATTCAAATACGTTACATTTGCCTAGAGTTTGCGTGTATGATAGTGATCAGAAGAACAATGAAAACTTTATGATTAAACCATCTAACTCAGAGGACGAAACCCTACTAGAATGATTTGAAAATATTTATATGGTACAATTAACGAAGTAGCAGAAATGTTTGTATATAAAATTAATGATATTGGCTTACGAAATAATTTCAAATGATGGCATGAGTTAAATTATAGTACAACAAACATATATTAGTGTACTAAGCTAATTCTGTATATCAAAATGAATGGGTGCCGATTCACAGACATGTATACCATATCCCTAAATATCCATAAGTAAAATGGACAAAATTTAATTTTTTACAAACAGTTTACTCACTCTAGGTTTGGATATGATTATTTTAACACGAAAAAACAAGACATCTAATAAGCAATAAGTAAACATCTATCATGGAAGACTTATTTGCCGGCGGCCAAACCAAAACGTAACATCAGTTCAAAAAGTCACTAACTTTTAGTTTGAGCAATATTGGTAGATGCAAACTACATAGTTGGGGTCCACGCAACTATCGGTAACTAGTGGTTGGAAACTTCTGAGTGACATGGCTCAGGATCTATCACAATGGCGTCGGTATATACACTTTATCTTCCCTTAAACTATGAGATTAAAATTACTTTATGTTTTTCTTCCTTGTATCATATCGTTAATAGCAATCTTTATTTTTAGCTATTACTACTAGTGAAGTAACTAATTTTATGAAATTAGTATTCATCTTGTTGTACTAATGAAGTATAGCAACTTAAACTAATGCATATATGTGACGGACTATTTTCACTCATGTCTTTTTCAAATGTATCACCTTATCAATTTTCTTTTAAATACAAATAAATAACTCATATTACCAAAGTCGATCTTGTTCCTTTTTTA